TGAAGAAATGAAAATGGAAAGACTAGACTTGAATTGTTAAATTGTTGCTTGTTTGGATCTTCAAGTTTAAACGAAGAATGGGTTCATAATAATTGTTTATTTAATTTTGTAATTATCTAGAAGATTAAATTTTTTTAAAAGAATTGAGGCATGACAGTAATGAGCTTTAGTTGTGTAATTTATGTAAGTGGAATTGTTATATTGATGGTGAAGTAGTTATTTTTTTTTATCCTCCATTGAAATTAACACATGGGTTCATGGTGGAGTGTTGTTTGTGGTTGTGATTATTATTTAGATGTTTAATTTTTCATGTTGAAGCAAAAAAGCAGTGAACTTTATAGTTGTGTAATCATGTGAATTGTGTTGATAGTGTTTAGTTTTGTTATTTGGATTATGTAGCCAGAGACGAGGTTTCATTCATTTACGGTGGAAGATCTATCAGGAGAGCAGTGGGTGATAATGAAGATATTAAACGTGAAGCTTCAATGTTTGATGGATATGTAACTGTTCCAAAACTTGGAGATGTTGCCTCTGGTGAAGATTTGTGTCCTCACATCAGTATGATTGTTGATATTTCCAGAGGGGATGGTGGTGAAAAGTTGGAGTTTTTGTGCTCAGCGTGGCCTGATCATTTGGAGATTCAGCAAGTTTACTTGCTTGGGCATGAGAAGATGTTGGTTAGGCCTTTATGGGGCCTGATTTCAGGTGTGATTTTTTTTTCCTGATGATTATGGTGCTTGTGTTTGTTTTACAATCAGGGTTTGGTTTGGATTAAATGCTCTGTTTTTTCTGGAAGTTGAAGAGAGAGCTTCAGAAGACTCTTCGTGAGTACCTGGAGGCAAGGGGTGTAAATGATGAGCTTTCTTTCCTCTTGCATGAATATATGCTGTATAAAGATAGGATTGAACTTATTCAGTGGTTTGGAAAGGTCAAATCTTTTGTAGAAAAACAGAGAGTTGTTTTTCATGGTGCCCTTTATGAGACAGGTTTGTTCATTTTTTAAAAAAACTCACGAGACGGTTATTCAGTATGCAGTAGCGTGAAAATGAAATTCTATTCTAGGATTCCTGACCAATGACTCTTTAAGGTGTTCTGATAGGTAAGCTACTTAAGATAGAGTCATACTGCTGAAAAGCTGCAGGAAATACTTTCTTTCTTATTACATAGCCACTATGCATCTCCTTGTCTCTCTTTCTTGCCAGTAGAAGTGTGGAAACATGAACCTCTGAACTCTACTTGCAGAAAGTGTCTGCATAACAGAGGACATTATGGGCAGTGTGATACTTAGGTTATGGAGTCTTTATTGTTGGACATGGAAATGGGAAAATAACTTCTGTAATAACCATAACTGAGGGTAGCTCAAACCCAACAAATGAGAATTTTGATTTTTCGTTGTGAGCTGGTGAGCTTGGAATCAAGAACTGCTTGATTTTTTTCACCTTTTCAAATCAGCATGTTTAATGACTGGCTGACCAGCATTATTATAGAGATTCATTACAGAGCACCATCGCCTTGGAGGTTCTCGTGGTGTAAAATTTCCCATGCATTATGGACTCACCTTATGGTTTTTTAACTGAACTCAAAAGGCTTGAAAATTGTTGTTAACGGTGGTAATCAAAGATTCAGAGATGAAGGAAATAAAACTCAGTAAATCAAAGGACTCCTTAGGGAGGTTTCATTGCAATATTCATGCTATTATGATGACTTGGCGAGACAAGTTGAAAGATGGAACTATTAGAGAACAGAGATAAGTATATGGGAACTAGAGGTAACAATTTAATAGCTGTAGTCTTGGTTCTTTTTAGGACCTAAACTATGATTTCTTTGCGTCATTTTCCTTCATCTTAGATGCATGTTGAGCAAAAGGTTTACAGTTTGGTGCTAACCAATGTTCTTTGACATCTTATGGTTAGAATCAATGACACTCTCTTCATTTCTGAACAACCTTATTGGACTTGAGTTACAGCGACGCCAATGTTTCAATTGCTCGGCCGAACACTGTGCTTGACTCAATTCCCAGTTGGCATGCTTCCTTTTATCTGCTCATTTTGTATTTTTTTTCCTCTAATCCTTTACTTTTTGCTTCCAGTCCTGATATACTTTCAAGGAACAGTCCCTCTACAACCTTTGAAGTGCCTGCAAGAGGGACACAACTGAGATTTAGTTTTCAATAAAAATGTTTGATTTTTGTAGCAAGACACGAGGCCACGATGAATATGGCTGTTGGGCTTCTTAAGCCTAACATAGAAGAAATTTCTTAGAATTGACCCGTTTAAATTTAATGAGTATTTAAAAATCTTGTGTGTTTCAAAAGTGTATTTTATTTAAAAAACATCATATTAATGTAAAAAATAAAAAAATTATTTTAATATATTTTTATAAATAAAAAATATTTTTAAAAACAAAGAGCAAGAAGCCCAGAAAACAAACTTAACACGACACAAATGTGGGGTAACAGAGACCTCCAATCTTTATCAAGCAAAACACCAAGCTCATCTAGAGGAGAATCTAGGAAACTTGGTCTCACGCCACCGCCAATACTGGCTAATTAAAGCATTTGCACAATGGTTCCCTTCGCAGAAAATATGCTCTTGGTGGCACAGACCTTAGTTTTAACATTATAAAAATTAGGAAGTGCTATAGTGAAAAATCATTTTCCTCCAGACTACGTCTTACATCTGCCTAGTTGTGTTGTACCAACCAGTATCAAAAACTTTGAAAACCTGCTTAGTGCTTCCTAATTTGTGGTGCTCTTGGCACATTGTGGTGAATTATTGTACTCGAACATGCTCAAACATTTTTTATTTTTATTATCAGGTTGGTGATTAGGTGACAAGTGAAATTGAATACTGACAAGTGAAATTGAATACTGATATTGCTTTTGTCAAATTTTATTTTGGTAATATCTAGTAATTCACAGGCAGGTTTCCATAACATCATGCCGGCCACCTTTTCTTCTCTTGCCAATTTTCTAACAGGACGGGTTGCTATATTTGCTTGTTTTGAAAGAAGCAAAATGGTTGCTGTTAATTTGTCCAGAAAATATTGATGTTAGGTAGTTGTCATATTACGGTCTTGTGGCAGAATCAGGTAAAATGAATTTGATTGTGATATAAAGTTGAGAACAGTAAGCAATGTTGAGATGGTGATGAATTGGGTTTATTATGCATAGTAATTGTCCTGCTCTTAATTGAACAAACTGTTCTATGATTGTGCTCCAATTAAGGGTAGAGGCTGGTTGTAGTGATTTAAATCTTTATTTGTCACTGGTTAGTCTTGATAATTTCGAAGCAACAAAAACTACCTAGATCAACACCATCTATTTCGGGTGATTGCCCGACCCGACTGGGTGTGACTGGTTCCTTCCGAGTTCAGATGGGGAGTTGGTGCCAGTTGCCCAACTTCTTGGTGAAAAAAGGGCAGGAGAAACAAGCCCGAGTATCAATTTCATGATCCCTTCTTGTTTGCACCTAATTTTGGTAGGAAACTCAAGGAAACATGATGGCCTTTAATGCTTCTCCACAATTCTTGCTCAATATGATATTCCTAACTTGATCTTGTAAGAATGGTGGTAGCTGAACCAAGCAGGCAAGACCTGATTTCTTGTTTCTGCATGAAATGGTTTTAATCTAGTTTCTAGACCGCTGACTTTTTGTAAGAGATGGATGATCTAAATTCCATGTAATAAATTGGAAACTTGAAAGTAATGCCTGCTAGCCAGTTGACTTGATTTTAGAAGAACCAAAAAAAAAAAAAACCTTCCCAGGGTGCTGCCTGTTTCAGCTTGTCATGCCCTTAAAACAGGGCATGCATTATTCTTCGAAGGAAACTGTGTTCAATGTGATGCAATGTGAGCTGAATATAGGTTATATTAACGTAGAATCAAATCTTCTCTAGATTTAGTGATCAGTTTGTGAAAGAGACATCTTACACGGTACTTGGAAAAGGACAATCATACAGTCTGTTTGGGGTTCTTAGATAATGGAGAAAGTCTAGATCAAAAACTGTAAATGACAAAGAAACAGCTTAACCCTCTACTAAAAAATGCATATAAATACAATTTATCCTACTCATAAACTTGCTTTCCTATAATGCCTAATTTGATATCATTTCTTGTAAACAATGTCAGATCTTCCAAGTCTTAGTTGTCACTATATGCAAGATTTTGTGTTTACTTTCTATTGAGGCAGGATGAATCCATGATAACTATACTACTATAGTCATGTGATAGCGGTGCCGGTTGCATTTGCTTAATGTCCCAAAACAAAAGAAGAAGAGAGAGATAGAAACGTGTTAATTTAAAAAGACAAAATATAAATATAAAATAAATTTGTTTTTGTGAAAGTTTTAGGATGAGTTTTTATATTTTTATTAAAAATACAGATCTCCATCATTTTTATATTTTCTATCTCTAGGTATTAATCAAACATTAACCAATGTATTCAACCATGTTTTGCACCTGTGAGGCAACTTTGGATACACTAGACTGAAGTAGATTGGATATGGTAATTTCCGTTGTATTGATATTTGGTGAGCATATGGAGCAAGAAAAACAAAAGCTTTTGCTTTTGTTGAGTCCCATTGGTCAGATTTTTCTGAGTCATCACGGCTTATGGGATAGTCCTGTCCAATCTAGTCTGGTTGAATTCTCTTCAACTGGATATTGTAGATGTGACCCTGAAGCGGTTTTCAAGTGTCTGTGTCTTAACTTATCAGAAAATGCTAGGAGTGAATAACCCTAGATTAAAAACACCACATGATTCATGAGAAAGCATGAATTGAATACCCTTAATTGACTGATTGCTCGAAGACTTTATGCAGACAACTGATACTGTACGTTGCTAGGGCTGAGGTAGAGGGAGAGAAAGAGATGCTCAAGAATGAGTACAAACTTGTCTGTCTTCTGGATCGAATCGCATCCATAGTCTAATCTTAAAAAGGCTCGAGTTCGAGCTTGACAAACAAAATACTAGCCACTATGCTCTCACGAGATTGAGGCACAGAACAACATGAACTACTGAAATCAAAGAAGGATGAAGGAAACAGATCCTAAAAAAACAACAATCATATAGCACTTCTATTGCCAAAATTTACATAGACATGTGTCCAGTGATAAAGAGGACAGAATCTGAAGATAAAATCAAGTGTGAACAAAAGAGAAAGAAAATACATTTTAGAGCTTGAGGGACAAGTCAAGCTTCTGAATATGATCATCTTGATTAGTCTTCAAATGACCACTGCCTATCCACCTACCAGTTCCAGAGTCTGCTGGAGAACCTACAGTACTAGTCCTCTCTAAGTTGAACCTACCCATACCGGCACGCGATGATGCTGTTGCAATATTCATGTAATAATTCTCCATTGATAATTTTCCAATAGAAGATGATAGGTGAGAAGGCTTATGGATCATTGAGTGTACTTGAATTCCAAGAGATCTACCATGGAGAGGAAGAGAAGCCATGCTTGAATGATGATGGTGGTGGAAATAAGGATGTCCATAGGCTGCAATTGAAGCAGCGAATTGACTCCCTATTAATCTATGCCCTCTTTTAGCCAGAGTCCTTTCTCTTTTATGGGCATTTTGGTGTCCTCCAAGTGCTTGTGAACTATAGAATTTTCTTTGACAATAGTTGCATGAGAAAACCCTTTGCTCCGCATCAGTAGCTTGAGGAGTTTCTGGTGAAGTCTTAGATGAATCCATGCTGCTGAAGCTGCCAATAAGGTTGAGCTCTCGATTGAACCACTGACTTGAATCACTTGCAGTTAGCTCTGGATCTGTTTGGAGAGTTGGCCTAGCTTCTTCTTGGTGATCTCTTACTCCTACAACTTCTTGCTCATTCTCACTTGGCCTCTTCAGTGGATTTGAAGCTTCAGAGAAACTCGACTCTTTCCTAACCAGTGATTCCATAGGAAAGAACCCTTTTTGGGCCTCAACTACTCTTTGCTAGTAGAGTATGGAAACCAAAAAAGGGATAAAATCTTTTTTGACAGGAGTTAACTGCTATGTGCTACATATATGGAAGGATGTAGTGCTTCCTACATGGATTTGAACAATATAAAATATTAGAGATTATTAGGTTTGCTTGTTGTCACACACTTGTAGAATTTGCCTTTCCTTAGGAAATCCACCATGTAACTATATCCATTTGTCCGTCCATTACAGGAGGCAACTGTGCAGTATCCCTACTCATCAATGGGACTGCATGCTCATTGCCCACATACCCTAATGCACAAGGCACAAATTCCTGAGATAGTAACTATGCACAAACAATCAAACGTTTGGAGTTAAGCTATAATGTGTTCGAGTGCTTTGCCTCAATCATAGGGAGACAACCTGACCTTCTTGTCTAGGCATCACAGAACCCTCTCGTGTACTTTTAGGTCCATCAGCATGGGGGTACTATGTTACATTGTTACATGTTAGTTCTTCAAGTGCTTTTTTTTTTTCTCTTTTCTTTTTGTGGGGTGCACTGCTTTTCATGGATGTTTCTGCCCGGTAGTGATATATTAACATTGTGAACAAACACCAGGATAGCTACTGATTGGACCCTGCAAGGTTGGGACAATGATAACTTGAGACATCGTGTTCAATTATTTTTTGTAGTTTGGAGTTGAGGGATTTGAACTTGAGGCACCAGTTCTTAAATTCTTAGCTGTATGACATAATATTTCACTTGTAGCAGATGTATATTGATCGATCAAATTGAAAGTTCAGTCACATACTCACATGAAAAGGTCAAGTCATGTCAAGCACTTGTCAAGCATTAATTGATTCACTCAGGGTGTGTCTATCACCTCCCATTGAAGTAAATTTGAAGTAAAGAGCAACCCTATTCCCTTCACTTTTTATTGCACGTAGTTTATTTTTGCATCTTAAGCTGTTTCTTCTTTTTTGTTAAGAATATATTTAGCTTGTAAGGAATTAAATTGATATTTTTTTTAGTATCTTTTACAAGTTCATGTGAAGAATAAAAAATTTATTTTAATATATTTTTAATTTAAAAATATTATATATCATAATATCAAACACATATAACCTAATTTGACAAATTTTTATAATGCAAATTTGGAATCTATCGAACTAGTCTTCTAGCACGGGCTATTCTCGTATATTTTTCAAAGAATGGACATAGCGCAAGTTAAAGGCTTTTATAATGCAAATTTTTATTAGTTTGGTGTAAGCTTATATATTTAAAATACCATAGAGTATTAAAAGAAGAAGAAGGAGTATGATTTAGTTTACCCTTATGTGCCATGAATGGTGGTGGGACATAGACGAATGGCCGACAAAGAAATGGGGAAGCTGAGGTGGAGCCATGTAGGCTAAAATAAGCTATGATAGACTTGATAGTGGTTGGTATCTTGTGGTGTTTATGTATTATTAGTTTAACCGTTTGGTTAGGGTCTTGAAAAGCCATAACAAGACAAGAAAAAAAATGTGTTTATATATATATATATATAATACATAAATTTATTTTATATTTTGATCTAGGACACTTCAAGTTCAACAAAACACACTGTACGTTATTTTTTCAATCTCAAAACAGTAACGTCGATAATGAGATAAATCCTAAAGAAATTAACATGGAGAACTTCGAGATAAGCATGATTTTTAGCTTTGGTACTTTATATAATAATATTAGCAAAAGCATATGGCATTTAGCCAGCTTCTTTCGAACCGATCCGAACCCCACAAGAGAAGGAAAAAGAAGGAAGGTAGTGGGGTTTCGGCATTTTAATTACTCCCTTCGGCTTGCACATTACAAGCACGCCATATGATCCTATTACCATTTCTCTCGTCTAATCAATTGGAACCAAATCTCCTTTTGAGATCTCTTGTCTGTCCAAAAATATTAAATCCAAACACTTGAAATTAAACCCTAGAGAAAGAGGAGATGTGCACGGCACACATATACGAGTTGGGTCCTTCAAAGTTCAACAGCAAAAAGGTTTCTTTTTACTCCCCACAAATCCATTACATAGACATGCACATAGGTTTTCTTATCATGACTTGTTCCACAGGATATAGCCCTATAAAAATAATATTAGCACTAGCTAGGTTAGGACATGATTTAGGATGTAATTACTACTTAGGTTTTTAATTTCTTACTCTAAGTATTGCTTCTAGACAACTTGATGTTTATAGTTTTTTTGACCCATATGTCATTTTTTTAACTTAGGTAGATGCATTTTTAATTACTCAGATACGAAGGTGGAGCTAGGAAATTGAGATTGGATGAGCGGGACGCTACCTTACTATAGAGTATAGGCTATTTTTAGATCAACCTTCTTGCTACATGGGCGCTCTTATTTTTTATTTATTTATTGTCGAGCGGTTATTTTAGGGCCTAATTAATTAATAATTCAAGTTGTTAATTTTCCTCTTGATGATGAAGTTTATCTCCTTTTTTTTATTGATTAATACTGACTTCTATTATTTTGAGATCATATTGAAATACACAAATAATTAAAAAATGAATGTGATAGCTGAAAATCTTGGATTAAAATATAAATTTTCTTAACTTAAAGAGATTTTTTTTTTTTTTAAAAAAAGGTAAAATTTATATGGAATGGTCATGAAATTTCAGGATCATTTTAAACTTTAAAGAGATCTCAGCTCTAATTCTGCCCCTAATTAACTAGCATGCATGATCTAGCACGGCCAAATTCAAGGCAGTGAAAGTTATGGCATTTCTGTTTTCAAGCTCGAACCGAATGATATGCACACCTCTAAGTTCCCAATCACTTAACAACATCTAATTAAACGTGCACTTCATCTTTAACATTCCTTTATTTAAATCTTTATCTTTCCCAATATTGTGTGGTGAAGTAATTCTGTGCAAATTCACAGTATTAGGTCACAGAAGAAATGTGCAACAGACTTGTTTTAAAATCGATACCGGTTTGGTTTGGTTATTTAACATGAAATCTAAACTAGTTCAAATTAAAAAACCTCAATTGTTTCAGTCAAAAATTTGAGTTTTACTTCGTTAAAATTTATTAACTTTTTTATTTGGAATTGTTTAATTAAAATAATATTTTTTTAAAATTTTATATATCAATTTTCTCATGATTTTAGCCTTGTTTTAAACATGAATTGAATTTTAAAACTATTATTTTAAATACAATTGTTAATGTAGTATAGTAAATGTTAGGAATCTTTCCTAATCACACTACTAGTACAAACCACGTCCTTTAAAGAAAAAGAAAAAAAAGTAAAAGGAGCGATTAAACAATGTTGTTCCTTCTATCTCTAAAAAGAAAAAGAAAAAGAAAGGTAAGCACTGTTTAATTCATCTTGAATTGTTGATCTATGCAAAAAAAAATTCTCCTAATTGACATAATTAAGTGGGTACGATTGATAGGTCCCTTAAATTTTAATTAATGATTGTAATCATTTCCTAAAAAAGATTTTTTGTGGTAAAAATTGTAATTTTTTTTGTTGGACGAGATAAAATTAGTTATTAATCTTAAAGGATTTAAACTGAAGATGACTGTTTTCCTTTTATTTTTTGAATCATATGTAATTTTTTTCGGCCTAAGCTCTAACCTAGGAAAGTAATTAGTTTATTGGATTAATTTAAATTAATTATATTTTTTAAAAAATATAATTATTACATCTATAATAATTTCACAATCAACTCAGAATATAATCTAAAACCTGAACCTACCCATATTAAAAAATATAAAAAAAAAATATTTCAATTTACCTGGTCAAAAGACAAGATTAACCACTAACTTAGTTAACTCGAGCTTCATCAGGTCAAGACTTGACTTAACTATTAATCTATTAATTCTTTTAACAAAAATGTTAAAAACCGTTTTAATTTTAAAGTTTAAGCTTTTATGTAAAGTCTCAAGATATATTTTATATTATTTTTAACACAATCCTTGAAATAAAATCCATTTGAACTTGAAACCTATCTAGATCTACATTACATTATATTTTAATTTTTATCAAATAAATAAAGATGATGAGATTCGAATTCGTGAATATTTAATCATTAATGCTCTGATACCATGTCAAGAAATCATTTTAATTTAAAAAACTTAAGTTTTTGGGTAAAACTTGAAGATATAATTTATATTATTTTAAAAAAATTATAAAAACAATATAGTTTTAATTATTTTTCAGGTTATACAATCAAAACAATACCATTTTATTCTCTATTAAAGTATCTATCAGGGTTAACTTAACCGAATTTAAACAAGGTAGTTTAATTATATCAATTAAATCACAAATTAATTTGCTCGGATATTTTTTTTTTTTCCAACTTAAATCAAAAACCGGTATAGATCAGGTTCTACGTCATGAATTTTCAGTGTAAACTCCCTCCCAGGCCGAGCTTGATAACTGCGAGTCCATCTGCACACTCATTCTATACCAAACAAAAGGTTGTTTACTTCCAGCTGATTAATCTAATTGGGCCTATAAAGGCCTAAATACTCTGGATTGAAGTTTAAAAAGCAAGGTCAGCCCAAAGGCCAACATTATCAGGTCAGTCCAGGCCTAGTAATATTTGGATCTAGTTGATGCATTTTTTATTTTATTTAATCTCGGTTCGAATTGTCTTTTTCCTTTTTGGACGAATCAGTTGGCCCAGAACAAAGGCCTGCATTCTTTTCTCTCTCTCTCTCTCTTTTTACTATTCAATTAATTCATTTTAACCTGTATTCACGATATCGGTACAGAATATTTTTTATTTTATTTTTTTATATCAATACATTAAAAATAAAAAAAAACCTTATTTAACATTTCCTCGAATAAAACGCATTTAAAAGCAATTCCCAAACACTGACTTGATAGCAGTGGCTGCCAATGTGTTCATTGTCTCCCATTTTTTTAAAGTAAAGACAAGGATGGAAGAATAAAGAAACAATTCCTGTCAGTTATGACTCCTTTTTTTTTAAATTAATATAAATATTTAGACTAATTTGTTTACCTAGATTAATTACATCTAAAACTAATAATTATATAAATCTTTAATAATTTTAAAATTTATAATGTTTAAATTAATAATTTTTAAAAAACAAACTTAAAATTTAACACTTGAACTACAATCCGCATACTCCCTTCCTCGTTAACACAGAAGACATCTAAAGACACATGTAGTTTCCCCGTAGCAAGGTACTTATTTTAGGTTAGATTGAGACTTCCGATGCTTTCTTATGCCTTGTCCATTCCTACATCTGTCTCCACATGGTTGATCCTCCTGGATTTTGTCTCTCTTTATTTGGTTTGATGACATCCTCCAGTAAAATATCAACACAACCCTCCAAATGAATAACCCAACAAGAAATGCAACACTGTGAAATCGTGCTTCGATTTTATCATGGACTATGTGGTCTATATATCTGTCTCATTCGCCATGGATTCGTAACTCCATGAGATAACCATTCTCTTGATTTCACCTCAAGATCATCCCACCATGGCTAGCCCAGAGACTCTGGCCCCCTTGATTCTTGCAATCATCTGCTCTATCGTTAGCAGTTGTGAGTCTAGTTTTCCATCAGTACTGTTTCCGTCTTACTCCCCTCCGACTCCACCTTCTTCTTATCCAGCTTATCCTCCCCCGGATAATAATGAACCCGTTTCGCCATCCCCAAGCCCTGCCTATTTTCTACCCGAACCAGGAACCCCTTCCTATCCGGCAGTACCCACCACGCCTTCTTATCCTCCCCAGACTTTTCATCCTATGAAGCCCGCCCCAAGTCCTGTTTATTATCTGCCCATCCCCGCCGCACCTTCCTACTCGGTTCCAAGTCCCTCAGCAGTGCCTGCTTATCCGGGAGTGCCTGCTTCCTCTCCTCCATTACCTGCACCCGCCGCGGGTCCTGTTTCCTACCCCCCAGTTCCTGCATCACCAGAACCATACCCTTCACCACCGGATCATAAAGGAATTAAAGGAGCATATTGGCCTTCATTTGATGGATTTGAAGCCTCCTCCATTGACACTTCATATTTCACCCACATTTTCTATGCGTTCCTCTTGCCTGACCCCGTGACATTCAAGCTTAATGTCACGCCATTCGACCAACAAAAAATACCCGGCTTCATTGAAAACCTACGTACCCGAAATCCGCCCGTAAAAACCCTACTGTCCATGGGGGGTGGTGGGAGCGATGCTATTGCACTCATATTCGCAAACCTATCCGGTGCCCAAGAAACACGAAAAGTTTTCATCGATTCAACCATCGAAGTTGCTCGAACATACGGATTTGATGGTCTGGGCCTGGACTGGGAATATCCTGCTAATGATCAGGAAATGATCAACCTTGCTTTGTTACTTAAAGAATGGCACGAAGCATTGGTCCATGAAGCTAGCGCCAGCGGCAAACCGCGTTTGCTACTAACTGCTGCGGTCTATTACTCTCCGCAATTCACTACATATGGTCTGCCTAGATCCTACCCTGCTGATTCTATAAATAAATATGCTGATTGGATCAATCCAATGTGCTATGATTACCATGGTACACGGGAGAATTTCACAGGACCAAATGCAGCATTATATAACCCAAAGAGCAATGTGAGCACAAGTTTTGGCATTGGATCATGGATCCAAGCCGGTGTTTCGCCGAAAAAGCTAGTGATGGGCCTCCGGTTATACGGCCGGACGTGGAAGCTCTTGGATCCGAATGTTAATGGAATTGGAACACGTGCTGTAGGGGAAGGACCTGGAGGTGGGATCTTCGATTATTATCAGGTTCTTGAATTTGACAAGGAGAACAATGCAATAGTCAACTTTGATGGACAAACTGTGTCCTACTACTCTTATGCTGGCGGCTTCTGGGTTGGGTATGATGACTCCGTAACCATTGATTGGGAGGTCCAGTTTGCAAGGTCTCGAGGCTTGGGTGGATACTTTTTCTGGGCTTTGGGCCAGGATAAGGATTGGATTATCTCAAAACAAGGTAAAGATGCCTAATTTTTTAGTTAATTCAATACAAATTATGGTCAAGGAAAATAATGCATGGAATAAAACACTACAAGATTAAGCATGGTGTTTTTGCACTATATAATTATTTTCTGTAACAAGTGAAGTAATGAATTTATTTTGACAAATTATATGGATTAAGTTATATTTAACTCTATTATTTTTCTTTTTATCTGAATTTTATTTAGTTATTAAAAAAATGCAAACTGATTAAAATTATTCTTCTTTTTTTTGTCAGCTTCGAACTCTTGGGATCGCTGAGAAAAGTTGCAGCTTCAAAGACGTGGGAGTGGAAATAACTTTGAAGTTTTAATTAATCAACCATTTTTTATTTCATTCTGTTCAAATTGAAAGACGTCAATATATATATAGCCTGGAACAAGACTTTGCTTTTTGGCAAAGGCAAACTGAAGAGGAAGAAAATAAAAAACGGAGCATCATCAGTCATCAACTCACCAACCATATTTGACTAGTTGATGCTCATCTATTTGTTCTTTTTCTTTGGCTAGTTCTGAGCTTTACGAATAATATTGACGCTGATTGATGATAGACAATTACTGGGAGATAAATAGATTATTTAACCGCGTATTTAAAGCTACATGTTAGAATAAAATAATATATTTAGATAGTGATAATATTTTTCAGTAGAATTCTTTTTAAAACTATATAGGATTATAGAGTTTGTTACAATCACCTCATAAAAAAAATTAAATAAATTAAGTTTATATTTTATAGAATATCATACACTTATGAATTAAAACCCACTAGTTAAATCCACCAACACTCCCTCCTATTTAAGGATACTTGTCTTTTTTTTTTTATTAATTTCAAATCATTTTAACATGATTTTTGTTAATTCTTCCTGTGGAATAATAAAACTTAAAACTCTTATATATTACGTGGTCTCACATCTCACAGATCTAACTATCTTAAAACAAAAATATTTAATTTTACAACGTATCACACAATGCTCAAACACACCCCTCAATGGATGATGTGGCACCCTCTCAAACATGAACCCGATCTCTCAATTCAATATTAAAATGGAAGTTATCCATATTAAAACTATACAATTCATGGAAATCTTAATGTTTTTGAACATAATTTAAGGTCTAAATCTTAATAAATAAGAATGAAGTATATTTCCTTTAACCTTAACTATTAAATCAGCTTATGACTGGCAATGCAAATATAATATCTTAAAATATTTCATTCATGTTAAGCCTCAGAAGTTATATATTTGATATCATAAAAACTATAAAATAGCGCAACATAAATTAAAATCTCATAAAATTAAGGATTTTAATAAATAAATTAAAATCCAACTCTTTCATAAATAATCCAAAATGAATTCAAAACATAATTAAAATCATTACATAGAGTATCTATAAATAATAAATAAAATATATCTCGAGAAATAAACAAGGCATGTTAATTCAAAGAAAAAGAAAGAATACAATCAAAAGATCCTGCTATCAAAACTGAACTAAAAACCTGAAAAATATAAATGGTTGGGTTAGTCTAAACACTTAAGGAGAGGTAATAACTATAATACATGTTAAGATATGTCATTGTTGTTATATAAATCAAATACAAAACACACACACACACACACACACATATATATATATCAAAGGTACTATATAAAATGGCGTACAAAAAAAATATGCATGTCACAATTATATATTATGTTATTGACATCTTACTCGTCAGCTATATATATATGTGGGAGGTCAATTTGTACAGTATTAATACCCTACTTGCTAGCTAGAAAACATAATACTATATGCATATAGATTAACTATTTTATGTTAATATAAAATAATTAACTATATTTTATTAGTTTAGAGTTTTTAACATCGGCCTAATAAGATAACAAAAAACATAGATTTCCAAACAAACAAATATCATATGTAAAGAGTTCATACTTTAATAACATTAATTTACAATGCAAGCATTGTCATATTAGAACAAATATAAAAATTATATAAACCATGTGTGTGTCAAACAACAAATAGTGTCAAACAACAAATAATGAGTATAAAAAGAGACCACAAATCATTAAACCAATTGGTTAATTGGTAACAATAATTATATCGATCAACTAATTGGTTGAGATTTTCAAAATCTCGACTTATTAATAAAAAATCTACATAATCAAAAAATAATAAGTATTTGATTCTTCAATAAACTCACAATCCGGACATCAACTCAATTTATTTTAATTCACCTAATACCATAAAACATAAATTAAAAACTCTTAAATCATTAATATACTAAATATCTTAAAGCACTAAAACATTTCTTTAATCCATTTATTATCAAATCTCAAATAAAAAATAACATATAAGGTAGTCGTAATACTTGCATCTTCAACCCTTTTTAAAATTCAAAAACTTAAATTTAAAGAGATCTGAATTCATTGGTAATTTGATAGAAAAGTCATGGTAAGAGAAGAAAAAAATAAAAGAGAGACAACAATGGTCCGCAACCTTTTCTATAAATGTCTAGATTAGTTAAGTTGGGTTTGAACTGAATTTTGGGCTTGCGTCTAATGGGACAAAAGATGAGTCTTATATGTGAATGAAGTTTCGCATTTGAAATTTCATGGAAACATCACATGAATTACAGACAGAAGAGTACACCTCCTCCAACAAATGAATTCCTAAAGGAAATTATAGACGTCCTCCAGCGGCTCCCATATATATACACATGCAGGGAAAATCATTTTATATATATCCTCCATAAGAAATTAAACCACCAAGGCCATGGCTTCCCGAATCTTGCTTTTATCCATACCTTTGTTGTTTATTTCCTTACTTGCTTATGCTTCCTTCTTTACTTCTTTTGCTTACTCAGCTACTGGAGCTGAAGTAGCAAATGGAAGGAAACAAGCAGAAGCTCTTCTAAAATGGAAAGTCAGTCTTGATAACCAAAGCCAGTCTCTCCTGTCTTCATGGGACGGAGACAGGCCTTGCAACTGGGTAGGAATCCGTTGCGACACGTCTGGTATTGTCACCAACATAAGTCTGTCTCATTATAGGTTGAGAGGTACGCTTAATAGTCTCAGATTCTCTTCCTTTCCTCGCTTGATTAAGCTTATCCTTCGCAACAACTCGCTCTACGGGTCAGTTCCTTCCCATATAGGTAACCTTTCTAAACTCATCATCCTTGACTTGTCTTTAAATAGCATTTCTGGCAACATACCACCAGAGGTTGGAAAATTAGTATCTCTTTATTTGCTTGATTTTTCAAAAAACAACCTTAGTGGTGTTCTTCCTACGTCCATAGGAAACTTAAGCAACTTGTCTTTTCTTTACCTTTACGAAAACAAACTCTCTGGTTTCATACCTAGGGAAGTAGGAATGCTTGAACATCTATCTACCCTTCATTTGCCCGATAATAATTTTGAAGGTCCAATCCCTTCTTCCATAGGAAATATGAAATCTCTCACTAGTTTAGATTTGACATCTAATTATCTAACTGGTGCAATACCAGCATCTCTAGGCAATTTAAGAAGCTTATCTGCACTTTCCCTTGGGAAGAACAATCTTTCTGGTCCCGTTCCTCCAGAAATGAACAATCTTACACATTTGTCTTTTTTACAAATAGGTTCTAATAGATTGTCTGGAAATCTACCACAAGATGTGTGCCTTGGTGGATTGCTTTCGTATTTTGGTGCGTTGGACAATTATTTCACGGGACCTATCCCGAAAAGCTTGAAAAATTGCAGCCGTTTGGTGAGACTCAGACTTGAGAGAAACCAACTTAATGGAAACATATCTGAAGCTTTTGGCACACATCCCCACTTGTACTACATGGATTTGAGTGATAATGAATTGCATGGTGAACTTTCATGGAAATGGGAGCAGTTTAGCAATCTGACAACTTTCAGAATTTCTGGAAACAAAATATCTGGAGAAATACCAGCTGCTCTTGGAAAGGCACCTCGTCTACAAGCTCTTGACCTCTCATCAAATCAACTAGTTGGGAGAATTCCAAAAGAATTGGGAAATTTAAAGTTGATTATACTTGAACTCAACGATAACAAACTTTCAGGTGATATTACATTCGATGTCGCATCGCTATCTAATCTCGAAAGGCTTGGCCTGGCCGCGAACAATTTTAGTGCATCGATTCTTAAACAGCTTAGCAAGTGCTCAAGACTGATATTCTTGAATATAAGCAAGAATAGATTCACAGGGATTATTCCTGCTGAGACGGGGTCTTTGCAGTCTCTTCAAAGTCTTGATCTCAGTTGGAATTCCCTGATGGGAGATATAACGCCGGAGCTTGGACAGCTGCAGCGGCTAGAGGTTTTAAACCTCTCCCATAATATGCTATCTGGTCTCATTCCAACCAGTTTTAGTAAACTGCAAAGCCTCACTAAAGTGGATGTGTCCTATAACAAGTTAGAGGGTCCCATTCCTGACATCAAAGCCTTTCGTGAGGCACCATTTGAAGCAATTCGTAACAACACCAACCTGTGTGGCAATGCTACTGGTTTGGAGGCTTGTGCAGCTCTCATGAAAAACAAGACTGTGCACAAGAAGGGCCCCAAAGTTGTCGTTTTTACTGTATTTTCTCTGCTGGGTGGTTTGTTGGGCCTGATGGTATGTTTTCTTATCTTTTTCCAAAGAAGAAGAAATAAAAGGTTAATGGAAACACCACAAAGAGATGTTCCCGCGAGATGGTGCCCTGGTGGGGAACTGCGCTACGAGGACATCATTGAGGCTACCGAGGAATTCAACTCCAAATATTGCATTGGTACAGGAGGGTATGGAGTAGTTTACAAAGCTGTACTTCCATCAGAACAGGTCCTTGCCGTGAAGAAGTTCCACCAAACAGCAGAAGTTGAGATGACCACCTTGAAAGCTTTTAGAAGCGAGATTGATGTCTTAATGTGTATACGGCATCGAAACATTGTGAAGCTGTATGGTTTCTGCTCGCATGCCAAACATTCATTTTTGGTATATGAATTTGTGGAAAGGGGAAGTTTAAGAAAGGTACTGAACGACGAGGAACAAGCAGCAAAGATGGATTGGGATAAAAGGATAAACCTTATCAAAGGCGTTGCAAATGCTTTATCCTACATGCACCATGACTGCTCTCCTTCGATTATTCATAGAGACATTTCCAGCAACAATGTTCTTTTGGATTCAGAATATGAGGCTCATGTCTCTGACTTCGGCACCGCTAGGCTCTTAATGCCTGACTCATCCAATTGGACATCATTTGCTGGCACCTTTGGGTACACAGCTCCAGGTACGTAGTTAAGATTCAATATATATCACCTTCTACAATAGGTTAGTTTAATTTCTGAAAATTTTTAACCAATCACTAAGAATATGCATTTATGATTGATTAATCCGAAACTGATCCTAAGGTCGTTATGCTAATTCTGTGACATTATGCTGAAAACGAAATTACTTGAAAACATATGATCAGTTGCAACACGCTCCGCAGGTAAAATATGTTTTCCTTGTCAGCAGATTCTGTTCTTTCCTGCTGACATTGTTTGCATATTGGAAATGCTTGGGTAATCTTTCTAAAGTTCTTTTCTAGATTAGAAATGAAACCCGAAGTATGGCTCTATTCATAGGTTGTAAACAAAATTGAGTGCACCCTCAGTTTCGCAATTTATATAGCAATTTTGAAGTACTTTTTGATTCATATTACTAGATTTCCAACTAAAATGCCATAATATATACTGGTAGCTGGTTTTTATTTGAGCACAAACGCAATTAGGAAATGCAATACTGCATTTAGGTGCAGTAAATTATTTTTGCAAATATAGCATGACCAGTCTCGTTTGCAGAGCTGGCATACACAATGAAAGTGGATGAAAAATGTGATGTCTATAGCTTTGGAGTTGTAACATTGGAAGTAATGATGGGAAAGCATCCTGGCGATTTCATCTCATCTCTGATGTTCTCTGCTTCCACCTCCTCATCATCACCAATCTGTCACAATACACTCCTGAAGGACGTCTTAGACCAGCGCCTCCCGCCTCCTGAAATCAAACCTGCGAAAGGTATGGCACATGTTGCAAAACTAGCATTTGCTTGCTTGCAGACCGATCCCCATCATCGGCCAACAATGCGACAAGTTTCTACAGAGCTTACATCTCGTTGGCCTCCATTGCCGAAGCTATTCAGCACGATGGAATTGGAAGATATACAGGTTCACAGAAATGTTATTGGCTGAATTTTTACAGTATACCTGGCCATCTTGTGAAAAACAACTTGTCAAGTCATCGCCAATGGCTTAGCTGGCAATAGCGTCCCCCTCCCCTCAAGAGGAGTTATTGTCTGTGTTAGATATTCCGCCAAAGCTTCATTTTAGATGAACTTGGTGAATGTCATGAATCATGTAATTTATTACCTTCATTTGTATCAATTACCTTCCTGCTACATAGTTTTTTTGGAGAGTAATAAACAATACAAATGCCAACACAAAGACCGTAAAATCTTGACGAACAAAATATCCACAATATTCAACCCAAACTCGTCCTGAAAGATCAAATAACGGCATTTGTCACGTTGAAATTCTATATTTATTCCTCCGGGTCTACAGAAGTGTTATTAAACTCGGCCTGGCCTGACGGGTTGACCTAGTACCTGGACCGGTTCGGGTTTAATAAAAGACGTCCGGCCCGACGGGTCGACCTAGTGCCTGGACCGGTTCGGGTTTAATAAAAGACTGGCTACAATAACAGTCCGGTCAAACCTGGGTGACCCGGCGGGTCAATCCATGACCTGGGCTCTGAAACCCTTTCGTATATATACTCTATATTCCCAATAAAAAAATCATATTTTTTTAATGTGGAATAAAAAAATTTTTGGTTTAAATATTTCAAATTAAAAAGATAATATAGTATCTTTTTAATATGAGATTTGAAACCTTTTTGTATATATACTCTATACTCCTATGAAAAAATAATATTTTTTCAATGTGGGATTTGAAACCCATTAGTATATATACTTCATGTTTCAAAGAAAAAAAATCATGTTTTTTTAATGTGGAATAAAAAATCTTTTAGTTTAAATACTTCAATTTAAAAGGATGACATAATATTTTTTCAATGTGGGATTTGAAACCCTTTCATATATATACTCTATATTCTCAAAAAAAAAATCATGTTTTTTTAATTTGAGATAAAAAAAACATTTTAGTTTAAATATTTTAACTTAAAAAGATAACTTAATATTTTTTCAACGTGGGATTTGAAACCTTTTCGTATATATACTTTATACTCCAATGAAAAAAAATCATGTTTTTTTAATGTGGGATTTGAAACTTATTAATATAAATACTATATGTTCCCAAAAAAAAAGTTATATCTTTTCAATGTGGGATAAAAAACTTTTTAAAATATTTTTTTAAATTTTATTGTTTATAATATGTATAATTTATATTTATATAGATTTTTTCATATGAAATATTAATTTTTTTTTCCTTAATTAGGTCAATTTCCAGACCGGGGTTAATAACTATGATCTATACAGGGCTTCCCTCTTAAAAAAGAAACAAATAAGTAAGACAAGCTCCTTAAGTACAGAAGCTATGCAGAAAAGCTTCCAAACTTGCTTTTCATCATATCGAAGATCTATTGAATTAAGCCTGATATCCTGCAGGGTTTTCCTTCAATACTTCAAAGATAAATCAAAGAAGCCATCAAATATTGCACATATCTTTAAATTACACGTTGCAAAAACATGTCAGGTCTTCACCTACATGTTCTTGTAAAACACCAAATCTCTTACTCATGAAGATTCAAGTCTTCAAGCATTATTCGGTAAAGGATATACGGTGTACCCACACACAATTTTAATAAAATAAATAAATATTTTCCACACTTTTATTTTATTATTTTTCAGGCTAGCTTGGTTTGTACAAATTAAAGTAAAAAAAAAGAAGATAAGTGTTTATGACTGTCCAGATTCAACATGAGCATATCAAAGAAACCAATCCATTGAAAGTTGAACATAACATTTAATCCACCGTAGATGGAGCCTGTTAAAATCTTAGTTATTAAATCTGGACGACCTGGTACCCAGCCTGGTGATTAGATCGGTCCGGGTTTGTTAAAAAACCGGTTGGTGCAACAACCCGACGAGTCTTTAACACATCTCTCTCTCGCTAATGTTTTCAAGCATGTACAAACCAAAGGAATTTGCAGGGAAAAGATGTAAAAGAGAGAGGATTCGTGTGGTGCTTTTAAGCTTTGAAGCATGAGTGCGTAAGAAGCAAGGACTGTGCTTCACCCTAGGGGAAAGCATGTCAAGGAGCCAGAGAGGGTAAGAGGAGATGGTGATGAGACTTGGAGATATCTGCACAAAACAACCAACAACCAATAAGATCATCCTCTCCCTTGCCTATGCCCTGTCACCTTGGATCCCACTTCACCTCTTTATAATTGCTTTCCTTTTCCATTTCTTTCTTTAACCACCTGACCCCGTAAATAAGTAAATAACCATCATTTCACAAATTAATTCGAGTTAATTCAACTTTTTAATTGGATCAACTTCTAAACTAGATTTAATAACTATAATTAAAATGATGGGCTCCTTTTAAAGTGCTTTTTTTAATTGTTTTTTATTATATAAATTTAAATTTTAATAAAATTAATCTCTAATTTAATTGTTTTTATCAAGCACCTTGAAGTCTCAAAAATATACAAAGAAAAGGAAATATCAATACAAAAAATATTACAAGCATATAAGATTTTATCAAGCACCATAAAAATTTTCATAGGATTTTTAAATATAGTACAAGATTTGCAAAAATAAATTCATGGGATCAGCAAAACTTTGGTGTGATTAGTTTACTTTGTTTTTTTTTTTAATAATTCTTGACAACTATTTTTTATAAAAAAAAATTTAATTTTTTTAATGGAATTATTTTTACCACATGTCAATGCATCTTGATCACATCAATATTTTTCAATCTCAATCCTTAAAAAAAAAAATCAACATCAAATTTTGGACACTTCAATAAATAGAATAAAAAGTCAGACAATTTTATGCAACATTCCATCTTCTTTGTACTTGTACATAAATAAGCAAATATGTATAAATTTTCTAGTCAAGATGCCAAAAAAAAAAACCCTAGTAGATTTACGGTTTATTAGAAATTATAATGATAGTTATTTTTTAAAATATTTTTATTTAAAAATATATTAAAATAATATTTTTTATTTTTTAAAATTTATTTTTGATACCAATATATCAAAACAACCTAAAATATAAAATAAATAAAATAATATTTTTTCAAAAATACTTTAAATGGTGAGGCACAAGCTACCTAAAGTTCGGATTAATTTCACATGATAACAAAAACTAAAATAATAATTAGGGTAGTTAGGGGGAGTTAGATTTGTTGTTTAACACAAGCAATGAAAAACTAGGAGAAAAACTGAGAAAATGATATAAAAATGCTTGAAGGATGATCACCCAATGCAGAGCCTCGTATTTTTTTTAATCATGGAATATAATAATTTTATTAAGCACATAATGGTGTAAAATAATATATCTCTCCTGTTTCACAAAAAAATAAAATAAAAAAATCAGAATAGATCCATAGCTGAAACTCCAACATAAATATTATAATAATCATGACAAATACTTCATTTTCCTTAATAACAATTTAAATTAGTCTACACGTAGGACACAATTAAATATTCCATCTCGAATAATGGTGATTGTCACACAAGATGTTCACGAAATAAAAATGAAAAATTATACAATAATCCTGTATTTGTAACCCGTTACAAAATTACTCATGGCAAATCCCAACAGGAAGATTATAATTCTTTTTGGCATGATTTTTATAAATTGATTTAGAACACAGATCATGTTGAACAGAGCCTAATAGAGAGAGATAATTTTCCACAAACAAAATAAAATCAGTTCAAAGAAGTGCCAAGAAGGCTCTTAATCTTCTTTCTAACAAACAGCAAACGACTGTCTAAATATCATTCTGTTGATTGATAAGAGACGGAAGAAGGAGAAGGATGTAACAAAATTAAGAAAAAAACATGAATGTTGTTCCAAATATCTTGGGAAGCATCACCATGGCTGAAACCCAAATTAAGACCATGGTATTCTACACCTCTTCAGACGCAACTGTCTATCTTCTTTGTACGTGTCCAACGTAATTAAGAAATCTTCGATCATGACCAAGACAAATAAATTCCTGCACAAGGAAGTTTCCACCTTATGGCTCTCATGTATAAATGTATGCAGGGAAAATCATTTTATACATCCTCCTTGAGCAAGTAGAGGGGTGTTTGCATTAGATTGGTTGTCATTTCATGTAAAACACCAACTATTGATCATTGGTAGCCATCATTGTTGAATGAGCTAGAGTTAGTGGCCACCAATGTTGACAACAAACCAAAAAAAGCCTCCATGAATGCCTATAAATAGAGGCATATGTTAGAGAGCAAAATGAGAGAAGGAAAAGAGCCAAAGATGTGAGAAATGTAGAAGAGAGTAGGCTTCCATTGCAGCACTAAAAAGAGAGAAATAGAGTGAGGTTGAGAGTTGCTCAAAGAGGGGATGATTCCTCCTCCTCTATTGTTGTAAATCTTGTACTCTCCCTACATAATGCAATGGCTTCTCCCATAGATGTAGGCGGTTTGTCTAACCTTGTAAAATACAGTGTCTCAGTGTGCTTGGCCCTCCTATGAGCAAGTATCAGAACATCACCGGTCGGAATTTCCCAACAATTGGTATCAGAGCTTTTGGTTTAAAGTGATGTTTTATTTTACTCAAAAATAAAAGTTGTCAAAATTATGTTTTGACCATACCATTGTGTAGAGGAGGAAGAGACGAAGCCACTAGTGAAAACCGCGTCGAAATCGGACGTCGGAAACCGCCGCACGCACCGGCGGGGTAACTGTCCACGTCATCAGCCATGTCACCTGACTCATCAACACTCTGACTAGTCAAACAGCCACAGTCATCAGCACTCTGACTATTCAAACAGCCACGTCAGCAGTTCTGCACAGTCAGCTCTGCCACATCACCAAAAATCCATCTGGGACTGCCACATCAGATTTGGTGACCCCATATGTCCTACATGGCTGACACGTCATCACAACCACGTCAGCTCACTGGGTTTTGATCCAGTGTGGTGCAGCGACTATTCCTCCTGCCATGTGGTTCATCTGCAGCGTCCAGTGATCCCAAAGTTTGATTGTTTAAATCTGAGTCATCCGAAGTCCGATTCGGATGATCTCAGTGTCGTTTTTAACATTTTTGGCCATTCCGGACACATCTGTAAGGTTAGATTTTACAGATTCAAGGCCGATCCGAGCTGAGTTGGAGCCGAGCCGAGGGACAGGATTCTGTGTGGCGGAGTCTACATGCAACCGGTTCTGAGATTGAATTTGGGCCGTTTATCAGGCCAAAATTATTTTGATCAAATCTTAGCCGTCGGAAGTGCGATTTGGACGATTTCAGACTTGTTTCCAGCTAATTTGATCATTCCGGATGCAATGGTATGGTCCGATCATTGAGATTGAGATCAGAAATGGCAGTGATGAATTATTAAAGAGAGATTGCTCGATCAGGAGGCATCTGATGGTCATCATGGTGGTCGATGGAGCTGAAGATGAAGAAATCACACATGTTTGCCCAATTACATGTGTTGAACTATTATGTGGGGAATTTTATTGCCTTGAGGGAAGGTAAAATTGGGACACTCTGGACACCCGATCATTTGGACAATTTGAGGTGAAGAGTGAAATTTGATGAAGACCAATCTTGACGAATCTAAGCACTGGTAGTCTCCCCAGATGTTGAGAAATCAGGTATAAAACAAGGATACCCCAGATCACTTGTAAAGGAAAGCCGCGACAAAGCTAGCAAATGGTTGTATATACGAAAAGACAGTACGATGGATAGATATGGCCTAAGAAGTTCTGGCTAGGAGATTGGGTTTTAAGCGGGACCGTTGTGACCCCTCCAATCTTTCCTGGGAACTTGCTTAGTGGAAGGATTATCCATACGGTACTATTTTCGTATATTTGACAATTTGTTATGAAACTGTTAAAGACTAGCAGGATGACGGCACAAAGGAACAGTTGGGTTCCATATGATCAAGGATCTGATGGAGTGGTGATTTCTCCAAGGAAGTTAGATTCGGTGACTATAATTTCTCGAAGGGAGAATTGATGAAGACCCTGATAATAGAAGAGAAATACAGCAAAGGGATAAAGATTGACACCCTATTTTGACTTGGATAGATTTTATGACAGGATGAGCTGCTGTCAAACATAAGCAAGGAATAGGGAGAAATCTGGAGAACCAAAATTGCACGAGAGCACATGAAGATTGTGTAGGAGTACCCGGAGGATCCAACGAGGTACTATAATGAGACAACAGGTGCAAGGAGAAGAAGAGTTCCCGGATGAAGCTCAAAGCAGAGACTATGAAAAAGTTGTACAACAAGAAGTCTTTTGTGCTCTTGATAAAGGCAACAAGCAAGGACCTTTCCGATGCATGCAAGGATGAAAAGATGAGCTGTTGTAGATGCATCTAATTGAGGGGATGCAAACGCCTGTGATAAAAGGCGATCGCCTATGATGAAAGGCGAAAACACCAAAGGGAGTTGGTGTGGGTGGAGCTGTTAAGCAAAAAGGCGTAGAAGCTCCAAACATAGAAATTGAGGTGGAAGATTGCGAGGAGTATACCGCAACTTTCTCTTTCTATGTAATTAGTGGCAAAGAATTTATGGAGCCACTTTGAAGCATCTTAGCTGAAGGAGGATACGACCGCCTATAAAAGGCGAAGACACCTTAAAGAGAAGGTGTGAGGGCTATGAGATGAGCCCATGATCAGACCGCCGCATGACAACGAACGGAGACACCTCAGGAGAAGGTGTGAGGGTCGTGGAAGGAGCCCAGTTCAGAACGCCTCAGAGCCAATGTGATGGCTAGGTATGAGTGGACAGATGGATAGCCAATAAAAGGGTTATGATGAGTATGGAGACAAATACAGGATTGACTTTCATGGATATTGTCCCCATGCTAAAGATCAATGAGCTAGAAGACATTTGTTTTGGACAATAAGTGGATGACTTGTGGAGCATTAAGACGCGGCTGCTATGAAGGAGCAGAGGGCATGCACAGGTTTCGGGAACAAGTTGACTCTTGTCAAGGTGGTGAGCTCGGTAATGGCATTGTAATACTCAGAGTATGAAGACAGATATGGATCTACCTTTTATGGGCTGCCCCCATGGTTAAAGGTGGAAAGCTACCTGGACTCTTGAGACTAAGAGTGGGAGACTCATGGAGAAGTAAGGCGTGGTTCCTAGGGTGGAACAGAGGGCAGACGTAACTCCCGGATGAGTAGACTCTTGGAATAGTGGTGAGCTTGTTATCATATTGAAATACTCAGATAATAACTGTCTCACTTGAAATATTCATTTGAGGGGGTGTTATAAGCCTTGATGTGAGGCTTGATGAATCATTCCGGACCGAGCATGGTTGATACGCTCGAAGGGGAATGTTGTTCCAGAGACAAACGTTAACACTATTCAGATGTGATGTGGCAGACCATCTGGTTATAGTGATCCTTTTGTGTGAGAAAATGTGCGCTTTGGTTACTCTGATGATTGAAAGGTTTGGCGAGTACCTAGAAACTTGGCCAAAGATGCTCTCAGAATGGAAAGCTTGGAAGAGCTGCAAGATGCAAGCTTGTGTTGAAGAAGCAAGAGGACAGTTGCCCCACATGAATGGCAAAGGGGGTGATTGTTAGGTTGGTTTCCATTTCATGTAAGGCACCAACCATTGACCATTGGTAGCCACCATTGTTGAATGAGCTAGAGTTGGTGGCCACCAATGTTGACAATAAACCAAGAAAAGCCTTCATGAATACCTATAAATAGAGGCATATGTTAGAGAGCAAAATGAGAGAAGGAAAAGAGCCAAAGATGTGAGAAATGTAGAAGAGAGTAGGCTTCCATTGCAGCACTAAAAAGAGAGAAATAGAGTGAGGTTGAGAGTTGCTCAAAGAGGGGATGATTCCTCCTCCTCTATTGTTGTAAATCTTCTACTCTCCCTACATAATACAATGGCTTCTCCTATGGATGTAGACGGTTTGCCGAACCACGTAAAATATCGTGTCTCAGTGTGCTTGGCTCTCCTATGAGCAAGTATCAGAATATCACCGGTCGGAATTTCCCAACAGTTTGATGCTGTGATTGGGAAGCGCTCTTCATTTCGATCGAAAATCATCCCTAATCTTTTGTATCTGCTCTGCCCGTTCCGGGCTTTTTGAGAATTCATTATTTGTTTGATTTAATCCTTAATTGTGTTTTTTTTATTTTTTTTATTTTTTTCATTTGGGAACAACTGTCTTTCTTTAAGAATCTAATCAACTTTTGCGTATAAAATATTTTAATGCAAATTCTTTTGTTTTTGGAAGGGATAAGAATTGGATTATGACAAAGGGATGATTGGCTGTGAACCAATGACTTCCAACGTTGCAGCTCGGTCCACTTGATAGCAGTAGAACCTCTGGTTTGAGGAATTCTAAGTTATGAAAGAGTTCTGATGCGATACAACTAGTTTAGTTCCTGCATCACCAGAATCATATCCTTCACCACCGGATCGTAAGGGAATTAAAGGAGCATATTGGCCTTCGTTTGAAGGATTTGAAGCCTCCTCCATTGACACTTCATATTTCACCCACATTTTCTATGCGTTCCTCTTGCCTGACCCCGTGACATTCAAGCTTAATGTCACGCCATTCGACCAACAAAAAATACCCGGCTTCATTGAAAACCTACGTACCCGAAATTCGCCCGTAAAAACCCTACTGTCCATGGGGGGTGGTGGGGGCGATGCTATTGCACTCATATTCGCAAACCTATCCGGTGCCCAAGAAACACGAAAAGTTTTCATCGATTCAACCATCGAAGTTGCTCGAACATACGGATTTGATGGTCTAGACCTGGACTTGGAATATCCTGTTAATGATCACGAAATGATCAACCTTGCTTTGTTACTTCAAGAATGGCACGAAGCATTGGTCCATGAAGCTAGCGCCAGTGGCAAACCACGTTTGCTACTAACTGCTGCGGTCTATTACTCTTCGCAATTCACTACATATGGTCTGCCTAGATCCTACCCTGCTGATTCTATAAATAAATATGCTGATTGGATCAATCCAATGTGCTATGATTACCATGGTACACGGGAGAATTTCACAGGACCAAATGCAGCATTATATAACCCAAAGAGCAATGTGAGCACAAGTTTTGGCATTGGATCATGGATCCAAGCCGGTGTTTCGCCGAAAAAGCTAGTGATGGGCCTCCAGTTATACGGCCGGACGTGGAAGCTCTTGGATCCGAATGTTAATGGAATTGGAACACGTGCTGTAGGGGAAGGACCTGGAGGTGGGATCTTCGATTATTATCAGGTTCTTGAATTTGACAAGGAGAACAATGCAATAGTCAACTTTGATGGACAAACTGTGTCCTACTACTCTTATGCTGGCGGCTTCTGGGTTGGGTATGATGACTCCGTAACCATTGATTGGGAGGTCCAGTTTGCAAGGTCTCGAGGCTTGGGTGGATACTTTTTCTGGGCTTTGGGCCAGGATAAGGATTGGATTATCTCAAAACAAGGTAAAGATGCCTAATTTTTTAGTTAATTCAATACAAATTATGGTCAAGGAAAATAATGCATGGAATAAAACACTACAAGATTAAGCATGGTGTGGTTTTTTTTTTGGTTAGCATTGATCAAAGCACTATATAATTCTTTTCTATACCACGTGAAGTAATTAATTTATTTTGACAAATTATATGGATTAAGTTATATTTAACTCTATTATTTTTCTTTTTATCTGAATTTTATTTAGTTATTAAAAAAATGCAAACTGAATAAAATTATTCCTTCTTTTTTTTTGGCAGCTTCGAACTCTTGGGATCGCTGAGAAAAGTTGCAGCTTCGAAGACGTGGGAGTGGAAATAACTTTGAAGTTTTAATTAACCAACCATTTTTTATTTCATTCTGTTCAAATTGAAAGACGTCAATATATATATATATATATATTAGCCTAGAACAGGACTTTGCTTTTTTGCAAAGGCAAACTGAAGAGGAAGAAAAACGGAGCATCATCAGTCATCAAGTCACCAACCATATTTGACTAGTTGATGCTCATCTATTTGTTCTTTTTCTTTGGCTAGTTCTGGGCTTTACGAATAATATTGACACTGATTGATGATAGACAAATTATTGAGAGATAAATAGATTATTCAACCGCGTATTTAAAGCTGCATGTTAGAATAAAATAATATATTTAGATAGTGATAATATTTTTCTATTAATTATGTAAATGTTTATTAAACTAACTCGGCTGTAAAAAATAATTAAATAAACTAAGTTTATGTTTTATAAAATATGAGAAATTAAATTAGATATATTTATAAATCAAATATAAAGCAAGCTTAACACAAAAATCTTTAATTTCATAATATATTAAACACACCCCTCCATGGGTGATGTGGCAATAACCCACTCAAACAGGAACCCGCTGTCTCAATTCCATCGGTAGTTATCCATATTAAAACTATAAAATTCATGAAAATCTTAATGTTTTTGAACATAATTTAAGGTTTAAATCTCGATAACTAAGAATTCAGTATGTTTCCTTAACCTAAACAAGTAGATCGATGCGCTCAACTTTTCTTTTGATTTGTTAAGTGAAAGTTTTAGTGAAGCTAAAACTATAAAATAAAAAGCTTCCTCGTCTAGTGTCCTAGTCGTAGATTACAATCATTTTCACCTGCCCGCCTCTTTTGAGAGGTGCAGCTTCTCCAAACAATCACTGTCCCAATCCACGTTCTAGGGTTTTTTTTTTTTTTCCTGCTTTAGTTTATTTCGAACTAACAGCTACAGGCAAGATGAAAATCTTCTTCATTCTAAACGAGATCAAGATGTAGTACAATGACAATCCCCGACGACTTGACATAGAACCTTGGAGTCACACACCATTTCCCCGTGCATCCTTTTGATGATGATGTTTTGTTATTATTTTGAGATAGAAAATTTTGAGGTAACGAGACAAGTTATATATTTTTTATGTCTTAAGAAGATAAAAATTCATTTCAAAATGATTTGAGAGATAAATTTATTTTATCTTTTTATCACTGTGCATCTAAATAGACATATATATTTCTTTTATATGTATTTTTTTTTTACTGAAACACTAACCAAGAACAATCATAATGACATGTTTTTCATCTAGATGGAATGATAATGCTTGGATCAAAACTCTAATTTCTAAAATTTTTATATAGGCAGTACAACTTAATTGGAACTAGGCCTTGAACATGAGATTTTTGTGTGGATTATTCATCGTAAAGTTTTCAGGGTTCAAGGGGTGCCCATCAAGTCTAGCTACAAGATTTATAATCACCCCCTTTATTTTCATTTTTTTTTCTTTTTTCAGTTTTAATGGAAAGATGGATGATTAAGATCCATTGTTGGTAAAATGATCATCCTGTGTCAACTTGGTGATTCTTTATCTTAATTTTTTATTCAAGTTGAATTTTAAATTAAATTAGATGAGATTTCACTTGGTCGACTCGATTATAATTTTATTATATTTTTTTTCAGAAAAAAATTCAAAACATGTCTTTTTGTATTAACGATGATATAATCTATTATTGAATTCCAAATCTAATTGACCTTATTTTGAGATTTTTTTATATTATATTTAATTTATTTAAAATTATCGGTGAAAGTATCATATATATATATATATAATTAGAAATCAAGTTTGGAAATAGATCAATTTAGATTAATTTAAACCTTGAGGAGGTGATGGGTTAAACCATATTTAATAACTTTGGTGAGGTATACTTACTAGTAACTGAATAATATATCATCATCCATGATTTCCAATAATTGATGCATATATTAGTAATAACAACTAACCAACCAAATCATATTCTTCCTCTCAATGCCAGGCAATTTTGATAAAAAAAAATTAGGCAGCCAACTATACATTTTTCATAAAAGTGGCACAAATTTCAGAAAGTTTTTAAAAATATTCCCCTCATGGGCGACAACATTAGCTAGAATTCAGCATACGCATATATACTATTACTTTGAGCAGCATCTTATGCAGCTAAGGTACGCTGTTCTCCCCCCCATACCCTTACAGCCTGAATTCATACAAAGTGAGGTCATGTGACTTGCCATAAAGTTAAGGAATCTCAAGATTTGCCACCCAAAATGAATCTTCTAGAAAAATATATTATATTGCTCGAACAATATTATATTTTGGCTGTGTAGAGAAAGCTAGGGTTAATCATGTTATCATGCAAATTAAACTGATCATCAACCCTTTTGAATATTAATGGGGCTAGAGTCAAAGGATTATTGGTGCTTTGGATAATCACCAAGTTCATTGGGATCTGACGTCCATCCACCTTGTGGGTCTAGCTAGGATCTTCGATTTGTGGTAGGAAGCAACACCGAGATTTAGAAAACTAATGACTTATCTCAATGATCCTTCAGGTTAAAGATTTTGCGCTATTTATGCTTCAACTTTACAACATCATATAATACATAGTTTATGTACATTGTCATTTTACCCAAAAAGCATGTTATAGGATTGCATATGATTAGTGTTTTAGGATTGAAGTGAAGATATAAAAATGATAAGAATATAATATTTGATTGAAGAAATAAAAATTATAATTGAGATAATTTTAGAGTAAATTTCTATGTTGTAAAAACAAAAAGGATATGAAAACATGTCATTGATCCTTCATGTTAAAGATTTTGTGCTATATTTTTGTAATGCATGCTTCAACTTTACAACATCATACAATAAATAGTTTATGTACATTGTCATTGGTTGTATATGATTAGTGTTTTAGGATTGAAGTGAAGATATAAAAATAATAAAAATATATTTGGTTGTAGAGATCAAGATATATATAAAAATATATACTTAAGATAATTTAAATTTTTATTTTTTAAAAACAAAAAAAGATATGAAAACATGTCACCTTCTCTTCCTAGCCGGAGAGACAATGACCAAACCTTATCTAGAGGATATGATTATGACCCATTAATAAAAGGGTACTTCTATGATGACAAAATAAGAAGGGATTAATTTGGCTTTCTAGTTGGGAAAATTAATGTATTTTCCAAGCTTGTTATCGATCAAGATTTAAACAAGGACCAGATTCTAAATAATAAATTTCTTATGAATCTTAACATTGAAATGACTAATTTAATCCTTGAACAGACTGGGAAAATAGATTTAATTTTTATGCGTAAATCCTTTAGTTTAATGGAATATCCTCACCAAAGCATACTAAATTTTCTTCTTAAGATGTCATATTACACGTTAAGCTAGTATTAAGTATAACTAATAGCTTAATTACTTCTCCATCTTAATGCATCTTACTTCTTATCTTAACTAAAATATATAAATCAAAAGAAATCTTAACATGTAAAACTACACTAATATAATTTAAAATTGCATCGAGAAGAAATCGATAGCTTAGACGGAAAAACCCTATTCACCGTCTGCATGAACAATGCATTAATCCACAACACACTTGAGTATGGGTGCATGGTACTAAACTCTCTATATATAATGATATTTCTCCCATCTCTTTTTAATTTAGCATGAGACAGTTTAGTAGTGCCAAGCTGCTGTTTGGCCCCTTTCCTTGTTCACAAAGGCCAGGCACTTATCATGGAGCAAGGATTATATATGTTTAATTAAGGTTTATTATTTGGGTACAAGAACACAAAGACAGGATACTGGCAGCCACTGCATATACTCACACTTTCTTCATCTTGAGTCATTATTGAGCGGTAAAAAGAAGGGATGATGGAGAAAGTTGAGATTAGATATATATAGTCTACTTAATGAGCTTTGTGCATACAAGACTTGATTAAAAGGCACTTTCAATCAAGCTATGAAGGCCCCAGTAACGATAAAAATCCCCTTAATCTAGAAGAGAAACATCACATCATCTAATCATAGATGGCATTCCTCTCCTTATCTGGAACCCACACACGATATAGTCTCATCCACTCACACGAAATATATAGTGGGCATTCAAGTGTATGCTGATTTGCTAGCTTTTCTTTAATTAATTGCCTCTATTACTCATTATTACCCTTTCTCCCACCAACTTAAAAAAGGTTGGTGGATGAAGTGAAGCCCTGCCCTCTATTGTGTGGACTTGCATGGTAAGAGTAGCCCCTTCTCAATATTTTCACAAAAATAAATAAAAATTTGGTGATAATTAAGATAATATTTTTGAATTAATTTTTCCTTGTATTAAGATGAATTTTATTTTTGGTGGGAGATGGAACATTCGTAATTAGATTTTGAGTTAAAAGAATTATAAAGAAATCACTTCTTTTTTCTTTTTCTTTTTTCTGAATCTTAAAGAGAAATTATAATGAAATTGAGAATAATCTCTTCCTCTTACTTTAACATCTTTTCAAAAATCTTCCGTGGACCCAGTAATAAAATATCAAAATAATTAAAATAACACGGAATTAACAATGAAAATGCTCCTTGTGTACATACATCAAGGAACAAGATAAAGGAGTACTGTTGAGACATTTGATTATTTTTAAAGAAAAAACTTATTGGATCGTTCATGTTAGAAAACTATTTAAGTCTAGTCATTAGATTTGAGATCGACCGATAAATAATGACAACATGACATAGACAATGGCTTATTGCAGAACTCGTGCATCAACTCAACTCTTCATTAATCATATATACCATGAAAACAGATGCAGTTTGTTGGGTTTTGTCCGACTAGCGCCAATAATATTAGCTAGGTCAGTGACCCTAAATGCTCAGCACATAACTATAACATGAGATCATCTCCTTTCTCTTCTTTATCATGAACCAAACCAATTAGAAATCAATAGACTGGTTCGGGTTAAATTAAGTTTTTATTTTTAAGTAAAGTCTGAAATGCATATTATTTGAAAAGAAATTGAAGAATCCTCGCTGGCTGGACCTAAAAAGAAAGGCCTTGATCGACAGGGAACTGTGTTAACTAACCAGACCGGCCAATTATTACAGCTAGGATATAAACTAAGTACATAAACCAAGGGAATGCACAGTTCTCGTGGAAAGAATTCTCTTCTCCCAACTCTCCCGCGTCTAGTCCCTAGCTAGCTAGCACTCTACTCCACCCTTGTCACTCTCACAGGGAGAGCGGCTTTTTGGCCCTTTCCATGCGTCCTGAGCTGATGCTGCATGGAATGCTGGACCACCGCAGGCCAATAATCCCCTTGTCCTCTTTCCTAGCCTGCAAGGATCGGTTAAGCTGCCACTCCCAACTTGAAACATGCACCAATTATTTGTACTCCTCTGTTTCTCCTTGCAAGGATTAACTATTGCTAGCAAAAAACCTATTTACTCACCTTGGGACTTGGGAAATGTTTGATATTTCAATTGTTTTTGTGGTTATAGATTTTTATTAAAAAAAATTAAAGATAAAAAAATTACAGCTAAACATATCCCGAGCAATATGCTATGGTGTTGTGGACTCGTGTTTCTCATCGTTACTATTAAAAAAAATATAAAATACCATGCATTGCTCATGTCTTGATTTTTTTTCCAAATAAAAATATTTATTTATGGCATCCTCAACACTTTATATGGTCTTGATTGAATCCTTGTGTGCGTTTCCGTCGATATCTTTCTTTGAAATGCGAACAAAAATGGACAAAAGGACTTGATTGATAAAGTTTTGAAACATTAGAGATCAAATTGATATAACATTTTGCTTTAGGATGAGATTAAGAATTGGATAAGTAGAAAGTGGATGGAGAGAAAAGTTGACCAAATACACTAATGCAGGGATTTGGTGTCGAGCACGGTCTGCGCCTACATGACCCGCGAAGCATGCTCACGCGGGCTAAAGTTCTTGCAGTTTCTGCCTGTCGCTTACTGAAAAGGCCTCTTCCATATGTGGTCCCCACTTTCAAGCCTTGTGGTTCAACATTTCACCGTATCCCCCTCTTTTTTATTTTATTTTTTTCGAATTTTGTGATTTGTTTCGTGCATTTTCAGTATTTAAATACCATTCCGCTTTATATTATTTATGTGAGTTAGTCGTTTTAAAATATTTTTATTTGATAATAAAAATAATCACTAGACATAACATATATTATATACAAACATAGTTGTTTATTAAGCGTTATTTATATTATCCACTAATTTGATCAAACTAGGTTGATGTTAAAAATCAACATAAAAATTTGATTTGATTTTTTATTATTTTCAGAGCAATATTATTTTAATTTTAAAAAATCCTAAAATTATGCTATTTTTTATTAATAAGAGTTTATTTACCCAACTTGTAATTAAAATCTTGGAATGGGTCATGAAACGGATTGTGTTTTATAAGTTTTTATATAAATAAAACTAGATATGGTGTATTTATATTGGTATTGAGATATGTAATATTAAAATTTAAAAATTAATTTTATTGGGATGGTGATATAAATTCACTCTAATATAAGTAGAGAAGAGAGGCGAAGAAGATGACGAACCTTTAGAAATTCAGAATTAAGACCATAAAAGTACACAAGGATCCAAGTACTTAAACAGCAACTAATTATAGTAGTAGTTATAACTAAAATGAAATAAGATTTGAAATTCTCAATTTTCATGTGCTTAAATTCAAATTACTAAACTTTCCTAGCAAGTTTACACCCATTAAACGGGTGAGGAGAAAAAATAAAATTTTAATTATAATCCCAAAATAGATGCATCAAATAAAATAAAAAAGAGATACCCTGATTAAGATTGTCAATTGTTATTAAAAGAAAGAAAGAAAAAAAGGAATATTTAATAAGCTTTAAAAATGCCCCAAATAAAAATTCAAATAAACTAACTATTCATCCCCATCCTTAGAAAATTAGTAAAAAAATCAATTATACCGATATTTTTTAAAAATAATAGGAATAATAAAAAAATAATAATGATTTTATAAAAATTCACACAAATATAAACATGCATAGTTGAAAAGACAAAAACAGTAATATAAAATAAATATATTTTTAAAATAATTTTAAATAAGTCTATTTTATTTTTAAATAGAAAAAACAAAAAAACATGTTTTTTTATCTTATTATTTTTATTTTTATATTTCAAGATAATAATCAAACACTGATAGGAAATCCACTCATATATAGTATTTTAATCTTCTAAAAAAAACTAATCCTGTAACTAAATTCTGTAAAAATAGCATTGTTCCCACTAATATCTAGATAGGGTAGAAAATTGCAAAATACTACTTTCAATTAATTCCTTTACAATGAAAAAGAAAAGTAGATAATTCTAAAATTGCACCAAAACGGAGAATATCAATTACAATCCAGAATAGATGCGCGTGGAGAGAACGCGCAACCAAAAATGGTAAAACAAATCTTGATATTAAAAGCTTTTATCTTTTTAACCTCTCACTCTCCACCGTCCACACATTCCATCACCGTCCAAATATATCCTTACATTTCGTATTCTTTATCATCACAAAAAACTGTAGGCTTGATTATTTTATTTGGTTCCTCATATTTTAATTTTTATTTACTTTGGTCCTCTCGCTGTTATCCCCTTATTCTATTTATCATCACAGAAGTGAAGTGATTCTACGAAAGATCTCGTGGTAAAATCTCGCTTTATTTTTATTTTTTTATGTTTTTGTATAAATACTTTACATTTTTCTTAAAAAAGCCTCTTTTATGGAATATTATTCTCAAATTCAATTTGGAAATATCTAGTATATTTAATGAGTGAGTCCTAAGAATAATTCTCATAACTCAATAGTTAAAAATGGTTAGAATGTCATTTTGTGAAGGCTTTAAATTATTATTATAAATATTTAATATTTTTTATGTATTAATGTGAATCCCTTACTTTTCACTCTATATAATATGATATTCTCGTGATTGATTATTTACGGTACTTGATAGGTACTTTATAGAAGGAGCATATGAGTGCATGAAAAAAATAATCAAATGATCATAGGAAAAAAAAAAGTCAACAGTCAAAGGATGATATTATAATGAAAAAGAATATAGCTATCAAAGTAGAATAATATTCAAAAGTAGAGGGACCAAATAAAAATAGAATTTCTGGTTCGTTGCCATGTTTTTTATTGTTTTAAAAGCTTTCTCTATCTCTAAAATACTATATTCCAACTTAACCAATCAACTGTTTTTTTTATTGCCACTTTCTCTCTCAATTGACTCATTGCAAAGCTCTGCCATTATTATGGTTTATGGGTTTTTGTTAAGAGCTTTAAACTTTTAAACAAAAACCAGTTAAAGCTTCAATCTTTGAAGCAAATACTAGCACCCCACTTGGTAAATTAGTCCCTTTATCTTATTCTTTGCTTTGACAAATTGTTTTGAAGAGAAAAAGAAAATGACTGTAGAGCAGGGAATCGGAGATGGCAATATAGACCAGTTTCCTATTGGAATGAGAGTTTTGGCTGTTGATGATGACCCAACTTGTCTTTTACTGCTGGAAACTCTGCTTCGTAGATGCCAGTATAATGGTTTGTCTCTCTTTTTTTTATAGCTTCATTCAGTTGTTCATGTTTTTTGGACATGGGTTTTTGTTTTCATGTTTTGTTGTTAAGGTTAAGGCTTTGATGTTTTTGTTGTTTGTCAGATTTACGCTGTTAGTTGTGTAAAATATGAATGGTTATAAGCCATTGACATGAATAATCTTTGTTCTTGGTTTTGATTCTCCTTGTTGATTGAGAAGTTTGATGTAATTGGTTTTTGTAACATGATGTTTGTGTAAACTGTTGAGTTAAATTAAAGCATCTTGTCTTGTTTCTTGGTTTCTTGAGAAAAGAAGAAATCTATATTCTCTGCTTGCTTTGATCCGGTTTGTTACTTTTGGGAGATAGGCACTTAGATATGTATCTACTCTAACAAGATTTTGTATGTTAAAGTTTACACTTTTGAATCTTTACTGTCTCTAATGACATTCTGAGGTTTTGGCTACTGGTATGTTATACTGATTGGAACTGTTGGATCTTCTAAATTGATTGCATTTGTACTCTTGGGTCATTAGTTCTTTGGAGTTAGATTTCTGTAGATTTGTTCTGAGTTTAAGCGCTCGAAATCTTATGATTTACTGGCACGGCACACTTCTGGATCTTTTCTAAATAAATCTAAATTTATTATTGATTTTACGAGTTTCGGTTGATTCTGAATATTTTAACCTGATAAATCTAGATTAACGATTGATTTTCTATGGTTTAACTGATCTATTTTTGTGGAATTTCACAATCTGGACTTATAAAATATATGGGTTGTGGATTGTGCAGTTACTACGACGAGTCAAGCAATCACGGCATTGAGTATGTTGAGAGAAAACAAGAACAAGTTTGACCTGGTTATCAGTGATGTCCATATGCCAGACATGGACGGTTTTAAATTGCTTGAGCTCGTGGGGCTTGAGATGGACCTGCCTGTCATCAGTAAGACAAAAACACTACACATGGTCTCTTGCTCTCTGTGTTTCAGTTTTGATCTAAAGGAAAACATGTTGCAGATTCTTTATGGACCCGTGGAGTTCCAAAAAACATTTTGAAAATGATCATTTTCATGCCATTTCCAGATTTCCAACATCTTTGAAAATTTTATAGTTCACTCTATTAGTCTGATTAAAACTCATTTTGTTGGTTGATTCCAAAGCCGAAAATTAGGATCTTGTTCTGTTCAGTTTAACAAGTTCATTTAATTTACTGTTTCTTGCATAGCATGTTAATGTAACATCTTTGCAGTATGTGGTTGTCCAATTGGGATTCGATACTAATTGAATAACGTTGAACTGCAGTGTTGTCAGCAAATGGTGATCCAAAGCTTGTGATGAAGGGGATTACTCATGGAGCTTGTGATTATTTGCTCAAGCCTGTTCGAATTGAGGAACTAAAGAACATCTGGCAACATGTAATTAGGAGAAGGAAATGTGATAACAAAGACAGAAACAGCTCGGATAACCGAGACAAGCCTAATCAAGGAAGTAGTGAAGCAATACCTGACCAGAAGCTTAATAAAAAAAGGAAAGACCAGAATGAGGATGAGGACGAGGATCGTGATGAGAATGAACATGAAAATGAGGATCCAGCAACCCAAAAGAAGCCCCGGGTTGTATGGTCAGTGGAGCTGCATCGCAAGTTTGTGGCAGCTGTTAATCAATTGGGCATTGACAGTATGTTATTTAACTCATCATCATACTAGAGGCGTTTAAGATGTTTTTCTTGGGTATACGACCCTGGTTTTATATATTTATTTATTTATTCATTTAGTGAACGTGTGTGCATGCATGCGCCATTGTGCACATGCATATGCTTACTGTTTTTCCTTGTTAATATTGGAGACAATATGTGGTTTTTGACTTTTCTCTAGTACTTGAACTTGTTTTTTTTTTTTTTAAGCAAAATCAATCTCATTGGTTAATTAATTCAAAGATCTTTTATATTTCTGTTCTACTTTTCATTCATTTTGTTTTTATGCAGAGGCTGTTCCAAAGAAGATTCTCGATTTGATGAATGTTGAAAAGCTTACAAGAGAAAATGTGGCAAGCCATCTCCAGGCATATATTCTATCCTCTCCTGGTTTAATTGAAATTGAATAATTATTTTCATCCGGGAAACTAACTACACTGTCCTGGATGCAGAAATATAGGCTTTACCTTAAAAGGATCAGCACTGTGGCAAACCAGCAAGCTAATATGGTGGCAGCTTTAGGTAGTTCAGATGCATCATATCTGCAAATGAATTCTATGAATGGAATGGGATTGCACAACTTGGCTGGATCTGGGCAGTTTCACAACACCCCTTTCAGATCTCTCCCTTCTAGTGGAATGCTTAGTAGGTTGAATTCTCCTGCTGTTCTGGGCATTCGTGGTCTTCCTTCTCCTGGAGTGATTCGATTAGGTCATGTACAGAGTGCACCGCACTCAGCTAATGGTTTAAGTCACTTCCAACCAGTTGGACACCCTGGAAATAATGGGAACATACTTCAGGGGATGCCAATGTCATTAGAACTTGATCAAATACAATCAAACAAGGGTGTCAACTATGTTAGGGAACTTCCTACTCATCTTGATGATACAGCCACTTTCCCTGTATCCAGTGGTTCCACAGATATGAAAATAATTGCTGGGAGCTCAAACAGCCCTTTTGCTGGTGTTTCAGGTAAACCTTTGGTGCTGGAAGGACATGGTCAAGGGCTCCAAGATGGCCAAAAATTTGGAAATCAATCTTCTCTCGCAGCAGGTTCCTTAGATCCAGGATATTCTTCCCATTTCCCGGATCATGGTAGATGTAATGACAACTGGTCCAATGCTGTTCAGTCAAATGGGGTCCAATCAAGTTCTTTTACCTTAAATGACTGTTTTAAGCAATCTACTCTGCATCCCAGTTCCATCAGAGACAGCATGTCAACAATGGCCTTGCAAAGTAGGAATAATCACTGTGATGTTTCTTCTATCTCTACTCTGCCCATTCATTTACAGGACTCCAAAGCAGATCTACAATGCCAAGTGGCTACAATGAACAGTGATGCTGGACAAATAATCAATAATGGCCAGCTAGGGTGGGATGACCATAGACAGGATGATCCTTACCACGCAAATGGCATGTCTAACACAATAAACTCTGCAGTTCCTATTAATGGTAATGGGAGTCTCATTGGCCGGAGTTTGGATCCAAATAACATGATTTTTCAGAGAACAAGAAGCTTCAGGTCAGCAGGACAGTCAAATTTTGTTGACAGCTCACTGATGAAGCATAATGAGGTTGAAAGTTCAGCAATGGAAACATTAGTGAGGTCAAAGGATGGGTATTTGCTAGGTCAACAGAAGCAGCAGGACAGCTATGTTTCGAATAATTTTGGCTCCTTGGAGGATTTGGTGAGTGTAATGGTGAAACAGGCAAGTCCCCCATATCCCTGTCTATTCCTATGGAGATGCCTTTGTTTTTCCTGTTGAATATCGCATATAAAATTTGCATGATATTCTGAGCCTTAACCATCGAATAAGAGAATCTTCTAAGCAACAAAGTTTTTATTTTCCCTCACTTACCATTTGGCTCTCACTCAAGCAGCACTACCCTTGTATCCATGTTTTTTTTATGAACTTTCTAACTGTTTCTTCTGATTATGAAATATATGTTTCAACTGTAACATGGTTTAAAAATGGCGTTCCGAATAATAGCCTGCAAGTTGATGCCAGTTCTTGTTTTTGTTCTGATTGAGTTTCTTATCACATCATCTTTGAATCTGTTTGTTTATTATGTTTTTCATGTCCTATGAGGCCAAACATTCTTGATTAGGAGAATAGTCTGGATGCTTGTCTGTTTCTCTGTGTACCGGATATATCTTGTTGATTAGGAGAATAGTTTGGATGTTTGCCTGTAATGCTGTAAACAAATCCCCATTTCTTACCCCGTGAATTTTGAGCCGAAAATTCTAGCAGTTTTCATCCTTCACCACATTCAAGTCATTAGGATAAATATTTTGCTGTCTGGGATCTCCATGTCATTGTTTTCTTACTCGATGAATCATTTCGATTTACATCCCTTTATCAGCATTTTGCTGTGTTCGCTACCTCTTCATCAACTCTAGCCCTGGCATTTAATAACAAGGATTCAATGATGCAGGAACAAGACAAGGTGAAGTTACCAGAAGGAGACTTTGGATGTGGTGGTTATTCTCTTAGGACATGCATATAAAGCAGATTTATGCTGCCAAGCCCACAAGAAAAAAGGATCTGCGGAAGCATTACACTTCATGCAGATTGAGTTTTTCCTAGTGTAATTGGTACTCCATTTATCTATGTATTCCAGTTGTTTTCTTTAGAGGACTGTATGTTAATTGCAGTAGTTGTTTTGTTCTCATATTCAGTAGAGTAAAATTTTTTTTCTTTTTGTCTAGTTGATTAAGCAAAGCATTGTAATCTAATAACAATTCCTAGAACTTCTTTGAATTGAACTAGGAAAATGCCTCGTTCCTGCAAGTGTTTTCTGCACTATTGATGGCATTGAGATTATCACGACCCCACACTGAAGAAAAGAACCACTATTCCAACCAAGAAAAGTGCCCCCGCTGTTAATATTGACTAGAAATGGTTCTTGATTGTCTCCTACCAAACAACAGTTCCACATATGTTACTTGTATGTATTTGAGAAAACTATGTCTAGAATACGTCATTGTGACATGTCATTACCATGATAATCAGTAATCATTTCCTTATAATCTTTTTAGATACCTCCTAGATCTCACCCCCACTCCAAACAAAAAAGAAAGCTACTAAAGATAGGAAGGTCAATGCTTCAGGTTTATTGCAGATTCATGAGAAGGTAATGAGAAAAGGCATCCAGGGCCTGTGGAAGCAGGCCAACCCTCACATCAATGCCTGCAGAGCCATTTGGATTTTGCATCGAGTATGCAACCTGAGGGATTGGAGTAACCAATGGAGCAGCACAGGCTGCATCGCCATGTAGAAAATCAACCTTGTGGAGTGGCATCCTTGTCCGATCAGAAACTATAGTTTACTCGTTAGGAGGTAGAGTGCCTTGTGGCCCATCAAGTGCTTCCATATATGCAGTCAGAGTCACTGTTGACAGAGTTCTTAGCTTCTTTTATCTTCTCTATTATAGTTTCATGGCTTCCTTCCTCTAATTCTCCGGCTGTTTAAGCAACAAAAATTAGTACATAAGCATTGCCACTAAAACCTTTAGACAGTGGAGGCATCATCTTGTTCCTTATGTCCATGGAAAATTGCAGACACTCCATTCTTTCCTTCCTCACTCCTAAAGCCTCGGTCCTTGCCTAAATTATTAGATGTTGACAATAGTCAGTGCAACCCAGCACAAAGTTCACAAAATAACAGAGAACACCTCTCTTTGCATGAGTCCATCTTCCCAACGGAAACTATATCAGCTATCCTAAGGCCAACTATTTATGATAACTTTTTCTAGTTTTCCTAGCTGGTTATCTAGCTGAAAGTGTTGCTGATGATTTGGGGAGAAAAAATAAAAAGAAATATGTAGCTTGTAATTACATTAAGCAACAACAAACCTAATGCTTAATGAAAGAAACATTAAGAAGATGACTTACTATATATATATATATCAAGGCTAATTGAAGTAACAAATAACCAGTACAAACAAATTAAAAAGATAACTGTAATTATTGCATGACTTAATTCACATGAACAACATCCGTGTTTAGGTCTCTTCGGTATTAACTATCTCGACATCTAGTCCTATACAATACAACCATTATTAGAAAAGTATACATCACAGTTATTGCCCACAAACTAACCTATTAAGGCTAAATTTATCACGAGCTTAGATGAGACAAAAACATCTTTTAACGAAGGAGATATATCACCAATAGTCATTATGACAAGAACACTACCATTAGCTTTTTAAATATGTGAGGATCCATAATATTCTCGGATATTACTTAAGCCGCATAAAGAGTTTGTCATATGATTAAAAGCACCAGAATCTAAAATCCAAGAAAAAGTTAAAGAACCAATATCTTGAAGACTAAACGTGGAGAAAGTACTCATAATCATTTCTTACATCATCTCTCGGGTTAGTAGATTTACTGGAGGATGTGAGATAGGTGAGCCAATAAGAGTATGTGAAATAGGGGAAGAAAGACTTTTGAACCCAATGCATCCACTACATAATGCTTTGGAGCCGTGGTTTGGAGATTTGATTGAACTGGACTTTTCTGAAAAGATGCAGTAGTAGTAACAATAGTGTGATAAGCTTTGTTGAAGCGTGGAGGAAGACGAATAAGACATTCCTTAATGATGTGTCTTAGTTGCCTGCAGTAGTTACAAAATTTACGAGGATAATGAGAAGTAATATGGTTGTACTTCTCACCACTATAGTATTGTGTCTTGCTCATATCATCATTCTTCCCCTTACTATGAGTAGCATTATAAGAAACTGAGACAATGGTAGAGGTAACTCTTGCCTGCTCCATAATGGTTTGAGTATGAAGAAAAGTTATGATATCATAACATAATAGTTTGACTAGTCTTTCATTATATAGGAAAAGTTGTCATACATACAGTAATTACAAAGAGTAATTCTACGGAGCTATATATGATAGCTAAATCTAGGGAGCTATATATGGCAAGATAAATTTTCTATTTATATCTAGTATTTATAGCCTAGACTATAATGAGTACAAATAGTTGTATGCTTGATTTCAGCATTTCTATTGACATATTTAAGCCTTTTTATTGACAATCAAGTCACCTTAAACTAACATTTTAAACTTATATACTCCGGTATCTCTCATATTTTCATACAAAAAACGCTCCAAAAATCTCTCAGAAAATTCCTTCCACTCCATCGATGGAGAATTAGCTATCTTTTCACTTTTCTTGGATTTATACCAATTCACAGTCACCTCATCCTTTAACCTACAGGATGTTAAAGTCATTACATGATAATTCATGCATCCCGTGGCATCACACCTAGCCACACGACACCTAAAAATTAATATGAATCCTTAGAGTTATCAACTTCTTTAAAGGCGGGAGGTGCCAACTTAAAAGACTAACAAATGCATTTTCACTTAATGTATAGTATAGGAAATCAAAAAGGCATTTTTATTCTTCTTTTTTATTTTTCTCTCAGCTAAAAGATTAGCTAGGGTCTATATGGTATGTCCAATCATATCTAAAGTATTTTCAACATGAGGCACTTTTTTATTCAATTCCTCCTTCTAGTATTGACCAACTTCCAAACTATTGTCTCCCTCTGACTCATCATCCTTCTTAACTTTTGTTTCTATAGGCTAAGGTGAAGGGGTTTTACCTCTCTTTTTCACCTCTCATTTGTAAGCTGAATAATAGAAATGTCCTCTTGGTCATTACTAACACGATTAGTATTAATTACTCATCTTACCCTTAGTATTTTCCTAAAAGAATGCATTTATGATAACACTATGATAAAAAGAGTTCAAGAAAGACATATTATACATAAGATTGAAGAATTTAAAAAGGAATGACAACAAGATAAGATGGATCCTACGCTCTATATATTACAGGGGTAAAATTTAACTTTGTTACCACTTTTATCATGACTCAAATCCCGGGTCTATGACCAGCAATTTAAGAATGGTGTCATAAGAACACCCTACCTACACTAAGTTTCATAACATATATATTATTAAAAAAAAAACTATATAAAGATTTTACAACATTTCAATATCTTTCAAAATATTATATTCTTCAAAAGTAATAAAATCAAATAACACTTCAAAAATTCTCATCATCGGATAAAGCAAAAGAAATAATAATCCCATAAGACATCATCAAAATTCAAACTTAATTAAAATAGCATTTAACATACATCTTAGATATTAATAGTTTGTAAGTCGATATATCATGATAAAAATACACACACACACACACAAATCATATTAATATAAAGTAGTGGAATATATATTGAAGATCAAATAAAACCCGAAGATGACCAGATGACACCCGAAGGTGATCACTGTGGGGGAATTAGAGGCTAGTGCCTCTCTCAACAGCTAAATATACCAAAAATTATGTGCATATAGACTAACTACTCTTTGTTAGAATTGTGTTACTAGCAAGTATATTGATATCAAAATGTAATCATATTTTAATGAATTTTAGTAGATACTCGCATATTAAAAATTATCCCACACACTCGGGGAAAAAAAACAACAAATACAAAACTGAAGAATATTAAAGATAGTTAGGAGGAATGTTAGTATAACCTATAACAAGTATGGAAAACACTAAAAAAACAACTCAAAGCAAAATAACATAAATGATTTAAAACTCTAAACTTTGAGACCAAAACATAATTATAAAGCCAAATCGATTCACCGAATTGATCATGAAAATAACTCAAACTGATCGAACATAATAAACCGGATAAAACTCTAATGTTGGGTCAAATGGTCGACCGAAATGTCCAACCAATCGACCTCCATAACAAGCCAACCAATAACAACTAGTCCACCGATTTAGTCAATCAGTCAATTAGTTGATCGGGATTTTTAGAATCTCAATATGCTAGTTTTTAAATTCACAAGTCTCTAAAAATAAGCATTTTGTTATTCAAAAAACCGTAATCAAACATACAAAACTGATTTTGAGCAAGACTAACACTCTAAAATATCAATAAAATCTCTTAAATCATTTCATCATCAAATCAAAATAAAAACTCTAAACTATTCTTCATCCTTTTACAAACAAAGTCTTAATCGAAGTTAACAATAGAGGGAATCACTTATTTGTTTCTTCATTCTTTTTTAAACCAAAAACCTAAGCTAAAACCGAAATCCTTGGTATTTTGGGAGAAAGTTATGGTAATGGAGAAAAAAAAGAAGAAAAAAACAATTCATTAGCAACTCTTTTATTTAAATATCTAGGTTAGTTGGGTTGGATTTGAGATGAACTTTGGGCTTGGGTTTGATTGATAAAAAATATGGATCTTACACTTCTCATGTCTTTGGTTCTTATTTACCACATGTGCTAGTACTCATCATAGGTTAAACCATGCTTATATAGTATGTCTTGTAGCTCTCTTGGAATCTCTTTAGTTGATGGAGTATCATTTTTTAAGTGAAATGACACCTTGTATAAAAATGATTAGTTCTTAAACCAAAAGGAATGTGAAATTGATATTCCAAGCACAATTATTAAACGCGATTTAGTTTAGTAAGGTAACCTAGAAAATTCACAATCTAGAACTTGATCAACTCAAATTTCAATTCAAATTGAAAAAAAACATTAACTTAATCAAACTTAATTAACCTAATAATTAACTCGTGACTTTACTAAACTTATCTTAGTTAACATCAAGAATTTTTTTAAAAAATAAAATAACACTATTTTGATTAAAAAAATAAATTAACACGAGTTGATCTGTGACTTACTAGATTGACCCAACAACCCAGTGACTGGTTTTTTTTCTAGGTTATATCAGAGGCCAACAACTAACAACTACGATTGAAATAGCTTTTCAATTTAAGTGCATGGTACTACTTAAATGCAGAAATTACAAGAGTAGAAAAGACATTGGCATTTGATAAACCTTTCTATAATATAATAATGCACCACTCCTACCTTTTTCTGAATCTTACTCTTATAAATGGCATTTCATAAACCTTTCCGGTTGTGTATTGGGAATAATTGCCGAGAATCGTTCAGTAACACTAGCACTTTTTCTTATGATCATCTCATGAAATCATCGAAGTTTACGTTAATATCAGATGATCATCCCAAGAAACTCCAAACTTCTTTGCGTTTTGCTCCTAGCTTCCTTTCCTATTATGTTACGGGAATAATTGCACAAAATCCGAAATCATATGACAAACACTTCTTCCTATTTCTCAATGATATCAGACGATCATCCCACAAAACCCTTTCATTTCATACATGTTCAAGTTGATTATTTACTCCTGCTATACTGCTCTTGTCAAAGAAGACATTTGCTATCCTTCTTCCTAGCCTCTGTGAATGAAGGTACTGCTTTAATAGTAAAGGTGCTCTCCTTCAAAGATTGGACCTTGACTAGCTGGGAGAAATCTTATTCGAGTTACACTCATTGCCTAGCACCTTGAAGCAGAATGAAACCCGGCTTTTAATTAATAACTGGCGTTCCTACGCCCAATGGATGAAAAAACATTACCTTACATCACCTTGGAGTCAGTTGAAGCTGTTGGAAAGTAGTAGGCATAAGCAATGACAATGATATTAAATTTATCGAGCAGGCAGCTGAAATCTTGTAGAAATATAAGCTGCATTGTTAGCCAATGAAGTGCATAAAATCTCTAGCAATACCAAGATTTGCTAAATATTAAGAAATACTCGATGATTTTTGTAAAAGAACTGCACGATCTGAAAGAGTACTTGAAGAGTACAGTTTAACTCTCACTTATTTGTGGCTAAAGCCTGTAAAACTAGTTTGTTAGCTAAAAAGAACATGAAAAGGTTACAGGTATTCCATTTGTATGTATCAATCTAAAACAATCAACCCCGAATTTGATTTCTCTGTGGTTTCATTTTCATTTGATACAGCATCAGTGTTGGTGTCAGTACCATTACTTGTATCGACCACTTGCACATCCTTTTCAGATGTCCCTGGTGCACACATAGGTTCTTTTGGAGGCGTAACTGGGTCTGCAGAATGTGGACCTTGTTCATCCGAAGCTGCAATGGTTTCTTTCACTTTTGGCTCTGTCGTTGCCTCTTTCATTTCAACATCTTCCACAGCAGCAGCAGTGTCGTTGTTCTCCTTCTGTCGGTCAGGTGGTGAATGAAGTTTAGCCTGATTGCTCTGTGATTCAGCTTGCACATGTTTGTTCGAAACCAGAGTACCTTGTTCCGAAGTAGATTTTTGTTGTAAAGGAGAGAGAATTTGATTCATCTGTTCAAAAATCATCTCTAATGGCTGAAGGCCCTGTCTCAACTTGAGACTTGCAGGGTGGTTGGTTAAGGATATCTGAATTGTTTCATCAACATTTTGCTCCAACACCGTGCACATCTGCCAGGAGAATCAGAAAAGACAATGTGTTAATCCTCACATGGCTTTGGCTCAACCACTACCACTAATGTGTGAATTGTGTCCACTTTCCATCTCAAGTGTTTCCTATCCGGTACATGATACAAATCCCGTCCATTGAACATAACATGGAGAATCCAAATGAAATAGCAGAAGATTTACCTTGTTATAATGCTCAGCCAATGCCAATCTATCAGGATTGTCGTCACAAGCAGCTGCTGAAATTTCTTCTGATCCTGCATAGAAAGATTACTGGTCATCCATGAAATTGTTGATAATTAATCAAACCGATGTCACCTATAATCTGATTCAAATGTTGATAATTAATCAGGCGATGTTTATATAATATCATTCAAATGTCCGCCACTCCATCCTGTAATAATAGTAAATTAATAATGAACTTGCCTTCAGAAATCTCTTAATTTCTTTTTCAGCTATCTCAAATTTGGTAATCTGAAGAGCAATAATTTATAAACAAACATGAACTTACTAATTGGTTCCATCTGAGGCAACTGGTCAATCATTTGAGCATTTATCTCTATGGAGCCTAAACTTGAGCTGTCAGCAGCCTTTGTTTCACCATCAGCCTCTTCACTTGTAATCTCATTTGGTTTTATATCACCACCCTGTGAGCATAAACAAGGGGGGTAAAGGAACTTGTGGGTCTAGAATCAATTCAAGTATCATATCAATACAAGCACCGAATACACAATTCTACTGTTCTATAAGCTCTTCCTGATGAACTGCTATAAAATAAAGAATATCTTATGTTCTGTACCAAGAGTGCAAGGATATTGACTGGCTCTAGAAATATAAGGCTGTGTGGATTAAGCCACGGAATTTCCATATCTCAGTCAAAATCATTTAACAGAAAGAGCAAACTGTCAACGGAAAAGAAAGAGGAAGATTCAAGTGTCATTAACACTAATGCTACGTGTTGCACAATCAATTGACAAAATAACCGCCTAAATCTAATTGGTAACAGTGGATAAGGAATACCCAGCAGTGGTCCTCCTTGAAACCAAACTCTCGCTGGAGTTGAGATGTTCTAGCTTATAACTTTGCTATTCTTTTTCCTAGTATATGAAATATTGCAATTTAAATTAGATTTCCTAAAAAATTGATTGCATCCAAAATTTTAGTCCTTTGAATTTAAAGCTATCTGAAAATGCAAAAATAGTCATTGTACAGGAAACAAAGAAAATCAAAATCACTTACAAAGTAAATTTTCTGGTACTCCGCATTGAGTCCTCTCTCCAAAAGCAGCACTCTTTTCTTAATGAACTCTACCTGTCGTCTCTGCATATCTCTAAAATGAAATAATATAGATGAATCTTGATATATCAGTGCTGGGTTTGCAGCATCAGTTGTCCCCTGAGCAACATCAGCTGCTACATCATTTCCAGTAACATTTGCCTGTGCCTGGGTGCTAGGAGCTTCTGCATTAGCAATGTTAGAAGTAGAACCATTTTGTGCTTGAGCAACTCCTTGCCCAAGGACAGGTAGTCTTATACAAGGAAGATTTAACTCTTTACAGATTATCTCTTGAACCTTCAAGTCCTTGTCATCAACAATAGCTTGCCATCTTCCATACCCATGCCTAGAAAGTAGATGACGACCAAAAACAAAGATCTTCATAACAGACTAAATTAATAATGCATTCAGCATGCAAATCTAGTTCACATAATATGGAGAAAGCACTTGTTTTTCAGCCTGGTGAAGCATCTTTGCATCCATTTCCAAGGCCAAGGGGTACCCTGCCACATGAGGGGCTAGAACTCAGGTACGAGTCCCTGGGCTTTTGGCACATTGTTTATAAATTAGGTATTTTTATTTTTATACACCTATCATGAGATGTTTGATGTGAAGCATATTGCAATAGTGAAACATATTTCCATGAATACCTACAAAAGGACCAAATTACACCAGGTGCATAACCTAAGCTCTTTTGTGCCTCTTATTATCAATAACTTTCTGCAAAAATCATATCCCTCACATTAACAACAGATTAATCTCCTTCCCATTTCAGATATGCACCAAATATTCAAAATTTTTATAATTTAGTAGCTTTGATGGAGGTATTTGAACATTTAACTTTCAACCTCCTCTTTATGTAAGAGAGGCATGGCTACAAATTAGGCTGCACCATAGGCACCCTAGATCCCATGCATCACTCTCCCCAAGGTAAAGTCTACTGGAGTTTAGGTTTGCCTATCCTATGCAGTGCTTTGATTTTATTATTCCTTCCTATACTATCCAACTATATCTCCATAAGAAGCAATATATCAAATATTTTAATTCTGATCTAAATAGGTACAAGGAAACTAGGGTGAGAGTGAAAGTCCCAGAATGGGTCAGACAATGTTCAGCATATTCGTCAAATCCTTAATTTGTACAAAAAAGTAAAGTCCTGGTGCGTGCACATTCACATAAGCTGGGAGATAGAGCACTTAAGAGACAAGCAAACTCAACCCAAATTAACAAAGACTCGGCACAAAACTAGTTGGGTCTATCTATTTAGAGGAAACAAAGGCAGAAATGCCAAAAAAGTGATCATGTATAAATATTTCAACAGATAAAAGTGATGTAACAGACAGTAATGAGAAGGCATACTTCAATACTGCATGAAGTAACAATGAATCGTGCTCTTGTTTCCAAAATTTTCCACTCTTCAGGCCTGGGTAGCGCAGTATAATGTCATCTGTGAAAAGCGCACTACCTGGGTTCTCTGATGCAAACCTCGCCTATCATTTCCAAAAACACATCAAAATATATCATTTGACTAATGGGAGCAAAAATGGTTGGGTATAATGCCCATTCTTCTTATCTTAACAAATGCACAAGGAATGCACTCATGTCATGCTTTTTCAGCTTTAAGCAGCTTCAAAAAGGCAGGCCCAAAAGACGGGAGAAAGAGAGACCAGGTGCGAAGAATTTAAAGTATAATTAAAGAAACATGAATTTCAACTTGCAGACTCACCTTATCCCTTATCAAAAGCAGGACAGCAATCCTAACAAGCACGTCTTGTATTCTAAGACCCTCTTTAGGAACACCGTCTACAATCAAGAACATAGAAAGTGAACAAAGAAAACATAGCGCATTAACAACACAAAAAAAATCAAATTAAAAGCTACCATGTGAAGATTAATCACCTGAAAAATTTGGTGAGTCAGTTAGATCTTCCGCTATGTGAGTCAAGAATAATCGCCCATAACTGAAAATAGGAGATGGAAATACCATTTATGAAAACAACAATAAACTAGTGTATAAAGTATTAAAGTTGGGTCCCAAAAAAAAAATACAATAGGTAGCTCTCTTTAAGCAATGACCAGGGTAGCTTGCAAATGATATGTAGGGAACAAAAATAGTGGATTGACATGATAGATCTAAAATGTATATAGTAACTGCATACTCTGTGAAATGAGGTTCCTAGATGTGCAAGAAATTAAGGAAAATATATACTTCAATAGCTTCCAAACAAAATCAAATCTTGTTGCCTTGAAACTAAACAGTGTATCTTCTAGCACCTAAGAGTGCATGCATACAAATGTCATCCAATCAAAACCCAAAAAATAAAATTCAATAAGAATGCAAGATGAGAGTCGTATGACAAATATGATGCTGTTATTACAGGTTTTGAACGTTAAGTTGCTATAAATCCCTAGCACATATTTAACGAATAAAAGGTAAAGCTAATGTTCAATACTTTTCTACTTCTTCATATGTCTTCTGTTTCAAACGAGAGGCAAACTCCTTCCAGTCATAGTCCCCAACCCCAAACCTGTAATATAAAATTTATGTGAATGCTGGTGTGCAGAAACATTTTAAAATTTTCATTAACCACATGAACATTATTCTTATTTTCTCAATGTAAGATCTAACCTCATCAAGATTTGTACAAAGGCAGCCCTCTGATTTTGTTTAAACCCCAATACTCTGAATGATCTTCCTTCACCTTCCATCAGAGGAATTGGTTCTGTATTATCCACTGCAAACCAAAATCAGTATATCATCAATTTCTGTCACCGGCTCATCAGAAACAAACTAGGAAGGAAAAAAAATACCACCTCGAGCTTTCTTCTTATAAGGCCTTCTTACTGTCTGAATTCCTGATGATGTTGTTTCACCATCAGTCAACTCAGCTTCATAATTGTCATCCTCACCGTCAGAGCTTACATCTTCTAGACCAGCAAGGTCATCATCTTCAACAGACACCATCTGAATCAGATGAAAATAAACCAGTTAATCTCATTTCCAAAGTCTCAAAAATAAAAGTGCTCTGTGCAATTCAAAGAGCCAAAATATATGAGCTAGTTAACATGTTTAAGCCTGAAAACACTTCTTTTTCAAAATTAACTGTTGCAAAACTTAATTATTGTGCTTGGAGGGCTGAATTTGTCAAAACATTTAAATCTGCAGCCTAATATCATTCAAAATCTGACCCAAAAGAATCAGATACCTTTGCATGATGGGTCCCACACCACGCCACAGTTATATTGCTTCAAACAGAAAGTTTTGCTTTGCAAGTTTACAATTATTCCCTTTACTGCTAATGGGAAAAAATGACAGAGAAAGGCACAAAAGGAAATTCTGAACTCCCACTTTTAGTAGATTTGAATTTAATTTTTGACCAAACTGGTTCCATACTGGCTGCAAGTGAAAAATAGCATACAATCTCATACCAATTAAATTTAAATTCTTGATGATAACAAGCAAATGTGTTTTACAAATTATCATAGAAAGAGAACACAACAATACCTGCTTACGGTTTCTCTTTCCTTTGCCCAAGGCATTAAACTTCTCAACTTTATGCACTTCATAACTATCTTTTAGCAACTCTTCCCAATAATTTGTTTTTTCAGTTCTTTCAGAATTGTTTATGGTGGATCTCGTTTCCATGGCTGCCTTTTGAGCTTCCTCCTCTGCGGCAGCCTCTGCTTCATCAATATACTCAAAATTTGCAACCTAAAGCACACAAAATGGTATTTTCCAATCAGAAGCAATTCAGATGATTGTAATTCAGAAATCAGACAGCACAGAACACAGGAATATAGAACCAATTCAGTTCTATGAAAAAGTTGCAGTAACAATTAAAGATACAATCTTCAATACAGTATTTTGCATTAGAAACAATTTCAAACATGGCTGAATACTCAAACTATAAGCAATGCATGACACAAGCCCTGTATCTGGGATTCACTATACTCCTCATCAAGAGTTCAGCCATTCATTGACTTGATACAATTTTACCTATCATATACTAGGGGTGCATTTAAAATGATGGGTCACTTTGCATTGTCATAATCAGTTAGAGAGAGAATCTAGGAAAGAAAAGTCTGCTGAAAGGATCTAATTCTGTTGCAGTCCGACTGCATCAAAAGACCCTTGCCCTTGATGATCTACCAAAATTTGTTAAATGAAACTAGATCATTCACACTATCCCCCTTGCCTAATATCCACGTATATAAGGAGCAACGTTATCAAAAACTGCAGCCTTACAAGAGATTTCTCAATATGGTTTGAACCTCACTCCCAAAGGAATACCAAACTTCCGTCTTAGGACAAAATTCTTATGTGATGCAAATGCAGATTTAAAATCAAAACTCAATTAATATGAACTCCACTAACCCCAACAACTAATTAACATTTCAGCCGCAGTAAGATCAAATTCCAGACACAAACAGAGGGAGACGGAGATGGAAGGAGAGAGAAGAGACAGTGAATTTATGTCTGCTTTTTCTTCATGTATATTGAAAGAAACAGGTTATGAATGTTTCAAGAAGGTTTAGATTTGATTTTTAATGACTACAATTCCAATTATTCTTAGAATTTGACAAGTTTTTATCAGAAAGAGTGCATATAGAGTAATAATACGCCTATGATAAGTATCACAGATATAGCCAGAAGCGAGTATCTGCAGAGAGGGAAAACATAAATGACGTATTTTCTAGACCATGATTTTTAATCTTAATTGCCATGTGGTCATTAAAAGCATAAAAGCTTTTCTTTGTTCTTTTTTAATCTTGGTAAAGAGGCATCCCAGGCTCTTTGAGCATTCAATGAGACCCAGAAATATGTAACTGACAGGTGGGACAACCAGAAACATTCCTGGGGGCTGACCACCACAAGGGTTGTGGTGAATTCAACTCTATAGCAAACAGAATATTTTCTCAGGACAAGTAGATGATATAAAGATAAGTTGGTTTGTGTGACAAGTAACAGCAACCACTAGAGTTCGGGCTAAATTTACTTATCAGGCCCAACATGGAATAAATAAGACTTGATGTTGTACAAATCTAAATCACGATGCTAGTGAAGAATAAATAGTACAAAAACCTAAAGTGATTATCATAAATAAATGTGAGGCAAGGACAAAAAGAGTCCAACAATCATGGTAGGATAACTAGAAAGGATGACTAGGAAAATGCCAAAAAGGCATCCAGGGAAGCAATGTGAACCAGATGTATATTCAGACTGCTATAAAGGCAATGTAACATGGTTAGTGGAAGTGGATGCTAAACCAATCTTTAAACGCGTCTGCCTAAGATAGCAAAGATTAATGAAAAACAATGTGAAATGTGGTGAGGAAGATAAAACATGAATTGCATAATTACTTCCCCTTCCATTATGCTTCCAGCACATGCACTGGGCTAGTCCACAGCTTGTCTTCTAACAGGAAAACATAGTTTTCTTCTTTTAATGCATCAATTGGAAGAGAGAGGTAATATATGTGTGGAATAAAACTGTCTACACAGGAAAGGAAAATCAATTGCAAAATAGAGCAAGCCTATTCTATGGCTGCTACTGAGCAAGATCATGCCTTCACAGAAAATCACCACAAACACACCTCAACAAATAACAGACAAAAGGATTGTAGTTTGAAAAAAAAAAACACCTTAAATGCCTTCAAAAATCCATCTTCCTCTTCATCATCCAATGATGTTTCTTCATCTCCAACTTGTTCACGGTCAAGTAATCTGTTCAAGAAACAATGCAAACTACTACTTTCAGCAAACGTTTAAATTTGTAAAACACTAAGATACAAACTGTCAAATGTGTTTACCGATCAATAGCAGCATCATCATAATGAATTTGACGTGATTTTCCTGCTTCGTCATTCTCATCAGCAAAAAGCTCCTTTGAACCATATCTTATGATGTCATCTAACTCTTCCTAAAACAAAATCATAATCTTTTCAGTGATTTCCTCAAATTTTAAACCCACGCATTTGTCATTAGGTTTTTCCCCCCCGTGATAAGAACACATATTGCAGTAACTTTTGTGTTGTACCTGCCCAAGAAATATACCTAGATAAAGAATGTTGCATGCATCAGTGCACCATAAACACAACAGCCAGCATTTTCTAAAAAAATGCCCAATATAGCCAAGAAAAAGGAATATAGTATACTGATGAGTATGTGGTGCTCTAAGTATAAGTCCTGCATGGTTCATATCTTTTTAGTTTTTGCCACTAAACCATACTACAATATTAACTACAATTAAATTGTGCCATCTCTGATCTGCAACTCAAATCATAATTTTCATTTAATTTAGCCCACACAAGCAACTTAAGTTTCTACTATTACATACACAACCAAAAGCCTTAACCAATGATAAAAGATTATTACCTGATTAATATTCTGTGCCTTCAGCCTCCCAACAACAAGGTGCTCTAAAACCATTTTCTTCTTAGTCAGTTGCATCATCCGTTCCTCAATAGTTCCTCGGGTTATGAGCCTATAAATCAATACCTGCAACACCAAAACAACACTTCAGTGTAAACAAATAACAAACAAGCAACCAAACAGCAGCAGCAGCAACAATAGTTATCTATGACATCTTGAGCATAAACTTTAACCTTGTTGGTTTGCCCAAGTCGATGTGCTCTAGCCATTGCTTGAAGATCAGCATGGGGATTCCAATCACTAAAAAGCCAAGAATAATATGTTCAGTGAATTGAAAGTCAAAGAAAAGGACCGCAAAAGAAAAGAAACCAGAAAATCATTACAAACCCACAGGACAAATTGCATATTTAGAACTTTTTGAGTTTCAAAATCCAGAGCACCCGAAAAGCATTTTGATCTTTTGAAAACATAGCCACTAGAGATGTCAGCAAATTGAAATAAGCATAATGATAGTGCCAAATCTTGTCTCGGTCAGGTTACAAAAATTCAGAAAATATCAGATTCCAATTCACCATAAATTTTATTACCATCATACCACCCCCTTAAACATGTAACTACTACTCTACCAACATTTCCACAGCACCTGCTTTCTCATTATCACTTAAAAAAGGAATACCAAAATGAAAATAAAAATATTCAAATGAAAACAATCAACCTATCATATATAATAACAGTATCAGCAGTTGCAAGGTTTATTCCCAGTCCTCCAGCTCTAGTTGAGAGAAGAAAGCAAAATCTTGAAGAGTTTTTGGCATTAAATCGATCTATACGCACTTGTCTCTCAGCTCCACCAACCTTTCCATCTATCCGTTCATACATCCATTTCTGACCACAGAAACAAAATGAATGATAAAAGACTGAAACACATAATTTATATATCTCAACAACCTATCACTGCAGCAGACAAATGCAGATTACGAGTGTGACAAAATAAGAACATGCTGATACCTTATGAGTGCAGTAATCTTCCAACAAATCCAGCATGTGCTGAAATTGTGAGTAAATGAGAACTCTATGCCCTTGTTCTTTAAGTCTCACCATCAGTTTGTCCAACAGTTGCAATTTCCCAGAAGTTTCAAGGAGCTGCCTGCCACATAGTTAATAAAACGAGAACAAAGGAGCACAAAAAAGATCAGCAAATAAAATTAAGTACTTATAGCTACTGAAAAGTATCTTTGTACACACTCAGACAACAAGGTACAGAATTAAATTTCAAATAGGCAGCCAAAAATGAAATGAAACTTCAGATGAAGCCATCCGCTGCCTCTCAAGCAAATTACACAGGCAGAACAGGCAAGGAAGATAAAGATTCTTTATCTTTATAAAGAAGATAAAGAATATGTCCAATCATAATATAAAGGCATGCATAACTGGAATTGTAACTGTGTAAATACACATGTGAATGCACTTGCACAAACACACAAGTACGAATACATAGAGTTAAACTACATACCTGAAAGATTCATTGGTATCTTCAATATCCGGCTCCACTCCTTCTAACATATAAGGATGACAACAGAGTTTGCGCAATTCCATAACCACATTGATAAGAGAAATCTGGTCAAGTAAGATCCAAGGACAGTAATATGTCAGGTTGAAATACATTAAAATAGCTTCATTTCACTACACTAATAAACTGCACCTGTGCACCACCACGTCGAGTTAGTATTTGATAGTTGCGAGTTAGAATGGCCTTGTAATATTCTTTCTGCTTGCTACTTAGTTCAACACGTAGAATGAGTTCCTTCTTAGGAGGTAGCTCTTTCATGACATCCTTTTTCACCCCTATAGGAGCATCACAAATTTGCACCCATATTCTCATCAATGCAAAAAAGATTTACAGAAAAGGAGATGAAAACCATCCTTTTGCTTCAGCAGGCCATAAAACAGACAACAACAGCGAGAGAGGGAGAGAGAGAGCCCTTAAAAGATTTACAGGAAAGGAGATGAAAACCATCCTTTTGCTTCAGCAGGCCATAAAACAGACAACAACAGCGAGAGAGAGAGAGAGAGAGAGAGAGCCCTTAAAATTGCATATTTAACATCCTTTTGCTTCAGCAGGCCATAAAAGAGACAACAACAGCGTGCGCGCGCGAGAGAGAGAGAGAGAGAGAGAGAGAGCCCTTAAAATTGCATATTTAACAATTATATATATATATATATATAAATATATAAGCTACCAGAGAAAATGCAATAGATAGGGCACACCCACTTCATGGAAAACAACTTTTGTCTCCCAAAACAAAGCTAAAGCCTTCTTCAAGTCATAATATAAAATAAGAAAAGTTTTTTTGTAAGAACATGCATTTCACAAAGTGAAACCTTATTCATTTCACATTTATGTTTCTTTTCTTGCGGAAGGAAACAAAGTGAAACCACAGGTGTTTCAGAATATAGGACAATACAAATCAAAGAAATAAATGTAAGCGTACAAACAAAATAGCAAATCAACAACCCAGCTCCTCGAAAGAAAGTGGAAAAATCTACCACTTCAATTACCTGTAGTTTCTCAATGGAGGAGAACAAAAGGCAGGTAATGCTAATGTGCTGACAAGTGAAAAAAAAATGAGGAAAGACTACAGTGGGGGCATATTTTTCAGATGGTTTTCTGTGTTATACACAACAATTCATATACTAGTTCAAGATAGGAAACTAAAAAAAAAGTGGTTGAGAAAGTGCAACCCTAAGAGAAATCAAATGCTAAAACAGAAGAGGCATCCACCAAATAGTCAGATAACACTTCATTTGGCAGGATTTGGCACCTTCATGTTCAAAAAGAAGACAGAAAAGGTTCAGAGTTACAAAAAAGAAACACTTTTAATCAACACGTAAAATCATGGATACCAATAGCCCTAGAAATCCAACTAATCAAATGAGGTACAAGTATATCACATAGAAAAGTTTTGAGATTTTACTTCTGAGGAGATGGGGAGCCAACATTTTATGAAGTCTCAAAATCTGCTCCTCTTGATTTATATCCTTAAACTCCTCTTGGAATTCCTCTAAACTTGCAAACTGCAAAGATTTTGACCAATAAGAGGAAAAGCCTTTCAATTTACCAATGGGCTCTTATAACCTATCATGATCTAACAAAAATCTTATGCACAGTAGCACGCATACTAACCTTCCCAGCATCAAGGAAATGCATGAGCATGAAAAGTTCATCCAGATTGTTCTGAGCAAGTGTCAAATGAGTGCTAGTAAGTTAGACAATTCAACACAAACACATGTAAACAGTATAATTAAGCGGTAGAATACACCAGAAGGAAAAGGCATGAAAAGAAGGCTAACGGGCCATTCATATGATGATGGGAGGGCACTGCACATTAGTTTCTATCCAGATTTGCAAGAAAAATATTTGCTTCTAAGCCTATGGCATGCATAAAGAACTCGCAAAACTAAAGCAATAAGATGATAAGATTATATAATAGATAGAAGTGCATATAATCCAGAAGAAAGAAAGTAAAACATGCATCCACACTGTGTTGCAGAAGTGCTGGTTTTGTTGATTAGACAGACCAAATCTGCCCATCTGCCAGTTTTCAAATTCAGTAAGCTAACTTTACAACATGATTAAAATCACCAACAGATACTCCCTTAAATGCTCCAGAGGTAGAATATCAAAACAAATGATGGGATGCAAGTTAAACAAAAGAGCACTTGACAAGCCTTTCAGTTATTGGCACAATTAGTGATTTCATACCCAGTGGTTTCGCTTAAGAAATACAATTCCAGACTGGAATCAAGAGAAGCATAAAGGCTTTTACATTACATAATAGGTTTAAGAACATGGGCATACAATAAAGCATTTTTACTTTTCAATTTTATTCTGATATTGGTACATATTATATGCAAACATTATTCCCCAGCAAAAAGAAATAATCTTAAGTCCACAAGATTCAATAGCATCATTGGACGACAAACCTGAAGAGGGGTTCCAGTCAAAAGCACACGATGGTTACTACAGTACTGCTTCAGTGAGAGAAACAATTTAGAGTCCTTGTTTTTTAGACGATGACCTTCATCAACAATCTATATGTAGATGTCAGTGTTAAGTAGCAATAACATGAGGGGACTAGCACAGCACTCGTTAAGCCATAGAATGTTACCATGCATTCCCACTTTATTGGTTTCAGCGATGTCGAGTCCAAGTTAATCATCTCATAAGACGTTAGAAGCACATCAAATTTTATTCTATCTTGCTTGCTTTCAGTAACAACTTGACCAGATTTCTTTTTCTTGATCTTCTTGTGATTTTTGGGATAGTAAAACTCATATTCCCTTATGACAGCACGAGCTTGTGCGGAGCCAACATACATAACCTGTACAAGAGAAACTTCCACTCAGTGTTTTCTTACCAATGAGCAAGATAACTGAAGAGTTCCGTGTACATACAACATTCATTTGAGGTGCCCATGTTGCAAATTCACGTTCCCAGTTTCGCAATGTTGAAAGTGGAGCTACTACCAGATACGGAGAAATGCCCTCTTCGCGAAGAGATGCTAGAAATGCAATACTCTGTATAGTTTTCCCTGTGATCAAACAAAAGAGGAGGGAATGTGAATACATTGGCAAAAACAATGACAAGCTACCAGTGCAAAGACAACAACACAATAAAATAAAGCAAGACTCACCAAGGCCCATCTCATCAGCAAGTATTACATGTGTTTGTTTGGACCAAGAAAAACGTAAGAAGTTCAACCCTTCCAACTGATAAGGATGCAATGAGCCTTCAATTGCAGAACAAAAGAGCACTCGGGTTAACAATAATTCAACCAAGTAAATCTTAATAAACAAGTATGCAAGGTTTAAAGAAGGAAGAAAGACATGAACGATGCACCTCCAGAAAGAAATTCTGGACTGTGATCACACTGTTGAAATTCTTTTGATTTCTTCTTTGAATCAGTAGCATCTTGAAGGCTGCTCTTTTGCTTGCTTGGTTTGTGAGACCTAGATTGAATTTTATTAAATCTTTCTATTTCAGGCTGAAATGCAGATACATCTGATTCAAATTCCCAATAACATTCATCGTAAGGGAGTTCCTTGTACTTCACAAGATATTCCTTCTCATCCTCATCTCCCCTGAAGCATGCAACAGTGTCACATTCAAGAATCTTGTGACAGAATCAGACAAGTTCAAAAGAAAAGAAAAGCTGAAATAGCATATCTAAACAGGCAAATCACACCAGTGTTATCAAGAAATGCAACAAGTAATAACAGGTGACTATATTATAAATGGTAAATTTCCACTCTGATACTTTTATGCTTTTATCTTCAATTAGTGATTTTAAAGTTCAAGACATGAGATGTACATAAGAAAAGCACCTCCTCAAGCCAAGAGGGCATCCTAAAAAATGCATTAAGATATAGTAAAGAGGTTTCAAAATAGAATGATGAGGGCAACAGGGAAAATCACATGGCTATGCAAAGATTAGCATCCCTTCAAGCATCAAATTATTCCGCTGAACTGCCTTACATCCAATGATGGATCCAAGCCCCCCCTCATTGAGATTATAACAATCTGTTTATTTTCTTTGAAAAGAACATTTTTTATTTTTATTCCTAAATTAAAATTTGTTTATTTTTTCATCAAAACATTTTTTCTCAGCATACTCAACCTTTCATGTATGAACAGTTTCCCTCCACTATCTTAAAAAATGAACACATTTGATCCCTGAAAAGAGAAATTGTCTTTGCCCCTCAAAGCCCTCAATCCTGTATAGGTCCCTAATTATGTCTAATCTTTAGATATGAAATTGTCAATGCTTGAAGAATAAGGATTATTATCTCCAACAACAAAAGTTCTGCTAAGAAACATGCCTGTAAATTATTGTATTAGCAAACTAATTGCATGCTTCCATGTTCTCAAATATAATTAAAAGATAGAAGAGCGCATACTTTTAACTTAACAGATGTGAACTCCATACCATTGATTTTGATTTTCAACCAAAAAAAAAATTCCCCACTGCAACGTTTGTTTTTAAATCTTTACAACAATCAAACATAAGAATATGACAAGGCAGCGTAAAACCAAAAGTACATTTTCTTTGTGCATGTGTGTGTGTTGTGTGTTTGTTTCATAAAAGTTTCAGATGAATCAACCTGCAAGCAAGAATCCGATCAACAGTTGTCCATTCAGGTCGGATAGCAACAAATTCATCCTCGGAGTTGTTGTTTGATGCCATCTGACGATTGAAGTTGTTTACTTTAGTCTTCAGACGGGGATTTGACTTGAAAGCTTTTAAAAACTCTTTCTCAGGTACCCTGTGAGGAGTTGTGCAGGAGAAGATAACCAAAAGGAAAAAAGAAAAACAGCAAAGAAGTGAGCAAAAAATGCTGAATAGACAGGAAAAGGACAGCATTGACAAGAAAAAAATCCAAAAGAATATCATGCCAGGTCAAGCCTGGTCATGCTGTAGCAACAGCACAAAGGAGAACTTGAAAGCATTATAAAAGGATTGCAGAGTTAACATGTTATTTTACATGCAATTGTTCTTCATGAGAAAGTTGGAAATCATATAAACAAAATTACCAAGTGCAATGTAGATAAGATAAGCCTTTCCACTTCACAAGATACTGTTTTACAAAAATTTGCTTTGAGCCCAGTTTAGAGGCATCGCTATCATCAGCAACAGTAGGGCGCATTTCACAGTCCAATAACTTATCGATATCATTCAGAGGGCTAACCTGCAGATGAAAGACTAGTAATTGTCAGTTATGAAAAGAATAATGTTGATGTAATAAACAAGAGTACCCAAGAGTGTCATGGAACCATACACATTCAGGGCACCTCCAATTGCTAGGAAAAGGAGCTTTTAGTGGTGGAAGCAGGCACTTGGAATGGTAAGCATATGTGCAGGTTTCACAATTCAGAAGATTCTCACTTTCTCCACAAGCTTGACAGGAATCCTCCTTCTGAATGACAGGGAAGAAAGAACAAGGAACTATTAAAGAAACATGAAGTTCGTAAAAATTTTATGACTAAGAAAGACAACCATGGGAGGACAACCAAAGCACAGCATCTACATTCACTGGAAACAAGTGTGGGAGCATGGATATGCGAGATCTTTCAAATCAAATAGATAATCTGCCTCATGTTCAAAGCATGATTCTCCTCAGTTGTTTTGAAGCCCAAAGCCCTAAGCAACTAAACCCCCAAATCATAATTTTGTCTCTCTTTTGTATTTCATTACATTGCATTTCCACAAAAAAAATCATTAGTTTTTAAATCAATTTTAAGAAATACGCATTAATTTTCTCAGTTGCAATCAAATATTTTCCTGTTCCATCATCTTCATCTTTAAGTTCAAGGTTTAACATGACAATTAATGAAGGCTTATTCAGTTAATCAACAAACTCCAATGAATCGAGAAAAAATAACACCAAATACATGATGATATAATGGTATTCTGGAATCAACGAAGATTCCCACAAAAGGATCCCAACAAGCTTATCATTTCCTACACCACCCCAAACCAGAAAAAAGAAAGGAGCAAAATGCTAATGAAAGTATGAAACTACTCCACAGTCAACAGCAATCCTCCAACCCAAGAAGTTTTCAGTTCTCATTTTTGACAGGCTGTGTCTTTTATCCTGATTAAAGCAATCTAACTCATAACAATGAATAACTTCTACAAGGGCAATGGTAAAAGTAATGCAATGAAAAAAAATCTCTAATAGCAAAGTACCTCAAAATAGAACCAACCAACTCAAAGCAATCCAGTCATTGACCAAGGATCTCATCAAACCAAGCACTAGACCAGCCACAGATTTTTTTTAAAATAAATAAAGGAAAAATCTGTGTAATTAACAACAGCCATAGGACAACAAAATTGCATTATTTTTTCTTCATTATTTCTACAGAATATAGTTCACTCAACTTGGAAATTACTGAACACATCAACTTTATTTCCTCTGTTAACTAGCCCGTGCCCGTGTATGAAAGGAAGCCTTAAAAACATCATTAAAACATCCTTAAGAGCAACAAGTCGGCCACATTCCTGATCTTTTTACATGAAAAATATCAAATAAAATTCATTTTGCTCGGGAATTTAACTCGTTTTCAGAAGTCAAAACTAAAAAAAAAAAAATCACAAAATTCACCTTGAAAACAAAAACAAAAAAAAATCCTTAAAAAATATTAAAATGTTAACGCCTCAACTATCTTAACCTCCAAGTGAAACTAGTAAAGCATCAAAGTCAGTAATTTTACATCAACAGCAAGGTAAAAAGAAAAAAAAACCATTATCATCCAGCATTAAGAAAGTACACATTAACCTACAAGAAAGAAGTGGGAAGAAAAAAACAAACCGCGTCATCCCTGACAAATCTTTCAATTTTCTCCTGGGGATTTTTAGCTTTCCCGGAAACAAAATCATCATCATCTGATTCATCCAAGTTATAAACCGGCCTCCTTTCTGATCTAACACGTAGCCTCTCCACTAAGCTACTCATTTTCTGCAACCAGAACAAAAAAAAGAAAAACTAAGACATCCCATTATCAAACACCACAAACTCAAGAATCATAAACAAAACAAAACAAACCAAGAGTACGAGAAACCAACATGGCACGTGCACCAATTCATGCAAGAACAAAAACCCACTTGATAAAACAAAAGAAATTATCAAAATTAATCACCATTTCAGGAATTAAAGGCCTTCTAGGTCAGTGGTTATTGAAGTACAGTGCGTATCTTTATGTGTGTGGGTCTTTAAAAGCAAAAATGGCAAATGGGTTTTCACTCTTTTAAGAGAGGTTTTGTTAATAAAGGTTTTAGAGCAAGAGAGAAAATTACCGGTGGATCTGGGGATCCAACGTTGTGAAAAATCCTGGCTAGACCCAAAAGAACACCAAAATCGGAGTTGGGCTACACAGAGAAAACTAAAAATACGGTGCTTATGATGTCATGTCACCAAAGACAACGTTTTTTCTTTGGATTTTTTTTTAAAACTGAAAGTATTGTTTATATAATAGCGAAGGATTTGCATCCGGTTTGGAGTGCGGTGTGGCTTTAGCTTTTTGATATTTTTAAAAATATTTATTTATTTAAAAAATATTAAATTGATATATATATATATATAATTTTAATATATCGATGCCAAAAATTAAAAAAAAAAACTTTTTATAAATATTTTAATAAAAATACTTTAAAAAAACAAACTACACCATAATACCGAACACTGTAAGAATTATTATTATAAAATTACCAAAATGTAGAGGGAGTGTGGGGTGAAATCAAAATGGTAAGGTAGTCTTTTTAGTGCTGACTTTTATAAGGTATTACGATAGTTTTTTTTTTTTTAACAAGTAATTATGTTTGGAACATTATTTTATAAAAATTAAAATAATCTATTTTTCTTTAATGGAAACATGTTTTTCGTTTATTTTACAATAATCTATTTGTAAATTAAAATAATCTATTTTATTTTACAAATAAAAAATTTTACAATAATTTTAACTAGACAGTTAATTTTTAAAACTTATTTTTTAAAAAATTACAATTAAAAATATTTTAAAAAAAACAGCAGCTATAAAAACTATTATGGTGTCAAATATTTACTTCAATGGTGTTCCGAATTAGGATACCGGAGAGATTAGAGGAGCATGTCAAGTTTGTTAACTCCGATTTTGGAGATTTAATGAATTGGACTGCGATTTCTTTCTTTCAATGATAAGAGTCAGGTTGTGTTTTTATGTTTGGTAACAAGTTAATGAGTTTGATTGGTATTTGGAATTGATTTTGTATTGCGGTAGTTTATATGGTTATGATTTTAAAAAAATTATAAAAAATATTTTTAGTTTAGGTTAATTTGATATTTATATATGTTTGGTTAAAATTAATATTTATATATGTTTGGATAAAACTATTGTTGAAATTGAGCTTGAACAAAAGTAATTTAATGTGTTTAATTAATAATGTTTTTGAGACTGATCTTATAAAATAATTTTTAAAAATATATATTAATATTGATAGTTTTTAATTTAAATGTTATAGATTTAACAATTGTTATTACATCATAAAATAAATAATATTTTTTTATTGTTATATTAAACTATCTATAATTTCATCATGTATGAAATGCATCCGACAAGGACTACAGTTTTCTTGGTTTCTTAAAAGCGCAACAATATTAGGTAAAATATATTCAGGAACAAAATTGAAACTACGATCAAAATCTACAAATGCTACATCATTAAGCGATCTTTATCTAATTTATGTAGTGTCATTAAATAATATTTAGCACTAGTTTTTCAAATAAAAACATAATTAAAATTTAAAAATAATTTATTTTATTTTATTTTAAAAGATCAGACTCAATTCAATACATTTTTAACTTTAGACCAAATCTGGTCTGGTCATAACAGCGAAGAAAGCCTTTACTGTTCACGTGAACAGTAAAATATAGCTACAGTGTTTGTGTGAGTTCTCCACATAAGAAACAACAAAATTGTACTTTTGGTAAGCCTGCATGCTCCACTACTCACGTGAACATTACAAAATATGACTACACTATTTGTGTGATTGCTCCGCACAAAAAGAAATAAAATTGTATTTTTGGCAAGCATGCGGCATAACTATAATTTATGGTGGGTTCTCCCAAAATAAAATCGTATTTTTTACTTAACCAAACAATAATATTTATAATGGTAAGTGAACCTTACTCGTAACTACAGTAACAAATGGCCACTAAGTGAGGTAACAAAATAATTAGAATAATATAAAGATAAAAATAAAAAAAAAAGATCATAAGCTTAATTGAAAAAAACTCAAGACACGAGGATTGAATCTTGCTTTTCAAAAATTTGATAGAGTTTTCTTGATTAAAAACTATTGACTTTGCATTAATAACTCATCGTAATCCAATTTTATAATCTATGATGGCTAGATAGTGTTTTTCAAATGATATTGGTATTTTTGACATGAATGGTCATGCGAGTAGATAATTTTTTTTTTATTAAAACTAAATCAAATATTTATTTAATAATAAAATAATCTACTATTCTTTATGGTTAAGAATACGTAAATCATTATATATCTAGCTATAAAGAGTGTTTGAAAATGTGGACCAATTCATATTTTTTTAAATTTTACTAAAAATTAATTTTTTTATATTTTAAATTATTTTAATATATTTTAAAATAAAAAGCAATCACAACCATATTTCAAAATATATTTATAATGCAATTTAAATTTTGTACTAATATCCCATGTAAATCAAGTGGAGTGTGTGTTTAGCAAAATAGTGCATGATGTTTTTTAAAAATATATTAAAAAAATAATTTAAAAAAATAATTTTTTACGTTAGCCAACCATAACTATAAAAAATACTTAGAAATATATTAATTTGATGATTTTTTCAGTAAACATAATATACAAAAAAAACTCTGACAAGAAAAAGGTATCACAGTATTAAATAAGCTAATTCAACTACGAGAAAGGTAATCAACAATAAAATTTGTGAACTGCATTGTATTTTTTGTACTATCTAACAAGATTTAAATGCTGATAATACAATTAAATTTGGTGAGAGCAAGTTAGTTAATCATTATTATGCCTCGGAATATACATATTGACCTAATTTCACTGTTTAGAGAGAATTAAAATCATCAACTTCACGTCTGCGATCCCAACTACAATGTTTGTTTATTCAAAAATATATTAAAATCATTATTTTTTCAACTAAAATATATTTAAAAACAAATATTACTGCATCCCGAGACACCGAAATAATGGACATGTCGCGGTCTAACATCCATGGACAACTCTTTCAATGTAAAACGAAACCACACCTATCTCTAGCCAGCAACATGGATTGATGTCAACCTACCATGTAGCAAAAATCTCTTCATCAAGGGAGGAAAGGTGGCAATCGAGGATGAGTTCATTGTGATGTTAAAAATAAAAAAAAATACATGAAAAAAATATATTTTAATATATTTTTAATTAATTTTTTTTGAAAAGCATATATATATATATATATATATATATATATATATGTTAACATACTTTTAAAATTAAAGCATTAATCCATTCCCAGTCTTACATGCATTAAGTTACATATCACCAACCAAATCATTCTCACTAATATCATACCTTTTCCATAATGAATTTTGAGTAAAAGACTTATTTCGATAAGAAATACAGTAGATAGTCTATTGAATCAAATGTTAAAGCTGGTTTATAGGATTTTTTTTTTCTTTTTTAAGATTAAATTATAGGATTTGAAAGGATATAATCAAGAAGTTTCCTGATTAGTTCATAAAAAGAGTTTATTGATGATTTTAGGGCATCAACATTACATTAGTAATAATTCAGTAAGCACTCGACAGAAAACTGAGATTCTAAGCACCAAGCAAACCTTGGAACTTCGTATCTACATTCGTCAAACCTGCTGCTCATAGGCCTATACAGAAATGCTTGTCCAAAGGAGGCTAAACTTGTGGTGGGTGGGCCTTCTATGTTTCTTCATCATTTGGATTCTGCCATGCCAGTTCTGTGAAGCGGCAAGCAAGCTGGTAATGTATTTTCATCCCAGGTGGATTGCTGCCCATGATGGGCAGCTCAAAACCAATGTTAAGCCCTAAGCCGTAACCCAGTTAAAGGGGAGGCAAACCTGTTTACACAATTTTATAAACATTATTTTTTTAATTGAAAAAATGATCAAGTCGATATACTCGGTTACCTGTAGCTTGTTCCACACCAAGTTTTCCTTTGAATCGCTTTGAATATTGACTCTTCTAAATCTCGATGACTCAATGAAATCCAAGTAAGGCTGGGCTCAATCAACTCGAAGTCTTTTTTTTTTAGAAGGATTTGATTAACTCAAAGATGACTCGACAACCTAGGCTCTAAATAGATCAGATCCCAAGCCAAACTGATAACTGTAGAAAAAACTAACCACAACAGAGAGGCAGAGAACATAAAGAATCATTACAGAAAAAACTAAACCTTGTGGGATCTTGTCACATGCTTCTGTGGACTTCAATAGAAAACTAGTTTTTGCCCATTTTGATTTTTCTAGTATGTTGTATAAACTCTCTAGACTCTCTCTTTAGTTTTTTTTCCCTTTTTCATTTGCAGTTGTTAATGGCACTTGAGTGGTGAATAATGTGCGTCTTTCTTGTGATTATGCACTGACCTTTATGCATTTGGAATAGCAGAGGGATTTCAACAAATCCTTACGGCTTGGAGAAAAAGGTGCCCCCTTCAATTGCTTCATTGATACTCTTACTTTACACAAACATTTTGCTTTACAAGGCTTTCACAATTGCATACACGGGAAAAATCTGACCCTGGAAATTTGGCCACATTGATGATGAGGGCCTTTTCAGGAACCATATCACATGCACGCTTCATGTAGCATGAGAGGTATTTGAGGCACAGGATATCAAATTCACTGGAATTCAACCTGGTTGATATTGTAAAATCCAGGAGCGCAGTGAAGTAAGTAGAGGAACCATGTATCACATACTATAGCACCTCTGCAAACTTCTCCACGACAAGGTTGAAATAAGTACAGAGAAGAAGAGAGGAAGGTAGCGCTTAAATACATATTTTTCAAGTCCTACAATCACAGTATTGATTTCCAACCCCTATCATCCTTGAAAGGAGAAATGGGCTAAGACAATATCAAATGCGAGAAACATTCAATACTGCAGAGTAAGATACGATTGAATGAATGGAAATTGCATTCTTTGCAGATACAGTACTAATTCAAAACTGAAGGCTTTCACACTGATCTTAATCGCAAGGAAAAGCTAGAACTACAGATAACTATCGGAAA